ATATATGGCTCTTTGCTAATAACTATTGTTCCGTTTATCTATTGCTGCATTAAAAAACTACCCCAAAACTTAGTGGCTTAAGACAGTTCATTATTACTATATCTCACAAAACTGTGGGTCAGGAATTTGGACAAGATGCAGCTCATACCTGCTCTGTAACATCTGGAGCTTCAGCTGGGACACCTCAGATGGCGGGGTCGGAATAAGTGGTTGGCTGACACTTTCTCTACATAGTCTCTCCACCTGGCTGGCTCGGGCTTCCTCAGCGCATGGTGGCTTCATGGCAGTGGGACTTTCTACACTCATCTCATTTACATCTCAGGACTCCCATGGAGAGGGTTTCAAGAAACAGGGGTGGGAGCTGCTAATCTTTTAAGGCCTGGGCCTGGAAACTGCAGTGTCACTTCTGCCATCTTCTCTCGGTCAAGCAGTCACAGGGCCCAGACTCAAGGGGAGGGGACATCCCTCTTAGTAACAAAGAATTTGTGGCCATTTTGAACCTACCATAACTCTGATTACCAGGACTCTTTCAGTCATAACAGGCAAAAACCCACCTCAGACTGAGTAAAGGGAAAGTGGGGAGTTGTATTATTGGCTCACGTGACTGAAGAGCCCAGGGATTCATCCGGCTTCCGGCACGAGGTTTAGGTAGTCTTGGGAGTCTCGGCCCTGACCCAGGCTCCAGGGCTGCTGTCTGCCCAGATGCTGCCCAGAGCCTGCAGGGCCTCCAGGACTCCTATGCACCCTGCTGTCACCCCCGCTGGCTGGGCCCTCCCCAGCAGGCAGTGGCCTCTCAGGGAAGGCAACATTTGGGGAGAGGTTTGGATTATGTGAAGGAGTCAAGTGGGTCTCTAGGCAAAGGCAACAGCAAGTACAAATGTCTTAGGGTGGACGTGTGCCAGATACGTTTCAGAAACAGCAAGGACGCCAGTTGGGCTGGAGTTGGGCAAGCGAATGTGATGAGATTGTGAAAATTAACACAGAAACTTCATTTAAAATGGGGGGAGGAGGCCAGAAGGGGGAGCTCTCATATCCTACCCTCAGCATCAACTGCAGACCCAACAGGAAGAGGCTCTTGGCTACCCCAGCAGGAGGGAGATTTTCTCCTTGCCTGCCAACAGCCCAGCCAATGAGAGACGGTCACAGCTCAGCCAATGAAAAGCCACTACACTTCCAACTCCCAGCTTCCTCCAACGGACTCTTTGTTCATAACAGCCCCTCTCAACTCCTCCTTCTTCTCTATAAAAGAACATTCCTCTCCTTTGTTCTCTGAACTTGCCTGTGGTTTGCCACAGTTTGCATGTCCTGAATTGCAATTCTTTGCTGTTCCTGAATAAACCCATTTCTGCTGTTAAAATAACCGTTTTACTTGTAAGGTCAACAAGATCAAAGAGGCGATGAGGGACCAGATGGTGTGGGTTCCTCTGAGTGAGGCAGGAGCCATGGGAGGGTGTGAGCAGAGCAGGGCTGGGGTATGACTGACATTCCTACAACATCCCTCTGGCTGCTGTGTTCTGAATGGACAGTGGGGAAGCTGGGGGACCTCCAGCGAGAAAGCTAGTAATAATCCGGGGGAGACAACGGCAGCTTGCACCAGGTGGTAGCTGTGTTGACGCTGGGAAGTGGCCAGATTTGGGAATAACAGACTGAAGGTAGCTGTGCCAGAAGGAGAGGGGAGGATGTTCCCATGACCTTGGCTTCCACCTCACTAACTTCTGGGGGCTTATCGCTCTGGCCACCTCCCTGCTCACTCCGGCCTCGTTTTACCCTCTCCAGTCTCTGCTGCCGACAAAGTGTAAGAGCAACTTTCAAAATGCAAATTTAACCCATCTACCAAGGCAATTCAAGGCCATTTTTTTTCATCTTAATGTGATTTCCATGTGGTTCAAAAAATGTATAACTAGCTCATTGATCCCATGATTTTGTCAGTAATATAAATTTACCATTTAGAAACAATTGATTTATAAAGGCATGAATTGATTTAGAGAACAAGATTCATGGAAATAGCACAAGAGGTGACAAGATGTTGCAGACAATCCTGAAGATAGAATACCAACCAATAGGACACGACTGGGCTTTGGGGGGCCCTGGCACCCCTGGGCTCTCCCTTCATCCCAGCCACATGGAGCCTCTGCCTTTCTCAGGACACACGGAGCCCTCGTACCCTCTGGCCTTTGCATATGCTGTTCCCTCTGTCTAGATTGCATATGTTGCCTCTCAGATTTTATTGCAAGATTGTTGTTTTCAAGATAGACTTTTTCACATTTAAATATTTAACCCATCTGGAATTCATTTGGATATATAAGAGAGGTCCAATTTTATTTTCTTCCAGATGGATATTCACTTGTGCCAGCACCATTTATTTCACAATCTACCCTTTTCCCACTGAATTGAAATACTACCTTTGTCATATGTTACATTCTTATATATACTGGAATCTATTTTTGGATTCTCTATTCTTTCCCATTGTCTATTCCTCTGCCAATGCCATATTGATTTGATTACAGTGGCTTTATAGTATATTCTTATTTCCGGTAAGGCAAAAACCCCACGTGATTCTTTTTCCAATTTTCCTTGGTTATTCTCGGGCATTTATTCTGCCTCACAATCTTTGAGGTCATTTTATCCAGTCTTTAAAAACAAATCCCTCTGTTGGTATTCTAATTTGAATTATATTAAATTTATAGAGAAAATATGGGAGAACTGACATTTTTATGGTATTAAGTTTTTCATCCAAGAACATGGCATGGCTTGTTCTTTTCCAGATCTCATTTCTCAATCTTTCAGAAGATTTAATCCCATTTATGTTTCTATACTTTTACTTCCTATGCTTCATTTCCATAAACAATATACAGTGCTGTTTCATGTTTAAAATTCTGTCAGTTCTTTCTTTGACTGGAACATTATGTGCCTTATATCTATCCATGCGATGTAACCGTGCATGGCATTCCACCCAAAGAATGTCCCACTATTCGTTTACCCAATACCCTTGAGATGGGTCATTAGCTGGCATCCAAAGTTTCTTTTTTAATTTTTTTTCTTTTATAAATAGTGCCCCATGAATATCCTTGCCTACATCTCTTTTGCTCATGTGTGAGGGTGTCTCACATGCCTAGAAGACAAATTGCCAGGTCATGTGGCATTTCTATCTTCAATTTGACAAGATACAACCAAATTACTCTGCAAAGAGGCTTGTACCAATTTATGTTCCAGCCAATAAGGCAGGAGAATTCCTGTTTCCCTATGTTCTAGCCAGCGACGGGAATTTTCTCCCCGACTTTTCTTCTTGGCAAATTTCTGTTCTTCTCCATCTTTATTTTTCGATGAAAAAATTTTTTTGTTTTGCTTTTTAATCTTTATTTACTGTATAAGATATATATGAATATATACGTGTGTATATGTGTGTAGATATCTATCTCTATCTCAAGCTCTATCATCTATCTATGTAATTTTAACAGTAATCAAAGCTTACACAGTGAAGTCTTTCTTAGATCCCTATTCCCAGCCACCCAAACCTAGCCCCTTTTGTAGGTGCCAACCCTTTTTTCTTTTGTTTTCCATCCAGAGAAATTCTATAAATATGTAAGCAACCATGTATCCATCTTCTCTCTCTCTTTTGTTTGGTAAGATTTTATTTTTCCTTTTTCTCCCCAAAGCCCCCCGGTACGTAGTTGTATATTTTTAGTTGTGGGTCCTTCTAGTTGTGGCATGTGGGACGCCGCCTCAGCATGGCCCGACGAGCGGTGCCATGTCCGCGCCCAGAATCCGAACTGGTGAAAACCCTGGGCCGCCGCAGCGGAGTGTGCGAACTTAACCACTCGGCCACGGGGTGGCCCCTGACTTCTCCTCTTATCTCCATTTTTAATCAAATGGTAGCATGTCACACTTACTCCTCTGCACCTTTCGTTTTCCACTAACTCTATCCTGGGGTCATTCGATATCTGTACATAAAGAGCTGCCTTTTACTTTCTTCTCTCTTTCTTGGCTTTTCTTTCTTTTTGGTGTGTGTGTTTATGCGACAGCAGCACCACATCCGCCGTCTGGCTGTATGACAATACTTTCAACAGTCCCTTCGCGATGAGCATCTTTTGTTTCCAGTTGTTTGCCAAATGTACAAAGCTGCAGTGAATTCCCTTATAAATTTCACAAGTGGAAGAGCACACCAATCAGATAAAGTCCTATAAATGGAATTCTTGGCTCAAAGCAGAAACGTGTTTGTAAATTCGATAGAGTCACATTGCCCACTCCAACCCGAGAGCGCATCAGTCGACAGTCCTACCAGCCTGTCCCCCAGTGACATACATGTTCCTTTAGGAACACAGTATAGAGTCAAATGTTTAGATATTTGCTAATACTGATAGGTATCAAGTGGTATCTCAAGGTGTTTTTAAATTTATTTATTTTTAAACAGTTTTATTGTGGTATAATTGACATATCATAAAGTTTATTTGTTTTAAGTGGACATTTCAGTGAGTTTTAGTAAATTTATGGAGTTACAATCATCACCACAATCTAATTTTAGGACATGCCTCTCATCCCAAATATCCCAATGCGCTGCAAAATTTCACTTCTCTGAGTGAGACTGAGCATGTTTTCTTCAAGAGCTCTTTCTATTTCCTTTTCTATGAATTTTCTGTTCACACCCTTTGCCCATTTTTTTCTATTGTATTTTTTCTTATTGATATGCATGCACTCTTTATATATTATGCTCCCAGACTAGGGTAAGTGCCTCTCCTCCAACAAACACCCTGTTCTTCCAAACAGGCTGAATGAACAGAATCTTGTGATATGCCCGTGTTTCCACCACCCCGCGAGGTGCTTGCACACAGCGACCGTATCTGGTTTCATTCTGTGTCCCCGACCTCTCAGCGTAGAGCCTGGCCCAGAGCAGGTGTCTGCAAATAAGCTTGGATTCAATATTTGTGAACATATATTCTTTTCCCCTCAGAGTTCCTATCCCAATTTGTGAGGCTGTATTAATCTGTGCGGTGAGTCGCGTCTGATTAGCAGCATAGCCGTTTTATTCAATACTGTGTGCCCATGGTCCCAAACAGGGTGGCCTAGCACATTATGTAAAAGTGCTGATTTGATCCATTAGTTAACTAGTTAATTACAAAGTGGTTTACGGTATCCGGAGGGAGAAAGATTTTGGAAAGGCTACAGCAAAGGATACAGAGAAGGAAGGCCTACAGAACACAGCCACAGCACCCAACACTGCTATGAGGGACACACGCCAACCCGGGGGCTTGAAGTGGGTGCACATGCCTGTCTACAGGGGCTGGCAAGACAGAACTCCAGCCTTCACTACCATGCGGGAAAGTAGGCCCAGGGTAGCCAATCTCCCAATTTTTCAAGAGAACCTGGAAACGGGGCTCTTTATGTGGAACCCCCCCTTCACAACGTTGGCAACAATTAGTCATCACACGGGCCCCTGGGATTTAGGCTGCCACTTTTCAAAGCCTGGGTTACAAAACTCTTTTGAAATAAATGTTCATGAGACATTCTCACAACCTCCCTGGAGGGAGGTTATCAGAGGCAGACCTGAGGCTCAGAGTAGGCAGGTGACTTGCTTAAGGCCGCCCAGCCGGGAGGGCTATGTGTGGGTGTGTTGAGGGAGAGTCCTGACCTCAGAGCCTGAGCTACCCCATACCTCCTCTTTCAGGAGGGAATTGGGCATTTCTGAGGACACAGGGAACTAATTATTGGAGCCCCTGAGCACGGCCCTCTAAGTTTGTTCCAAGCCCACCTGGGCGGGTGAGGCTTGGCCTGGTGCCTGATTAGCCCCTCCCAGGGCAGAGCCAGGGCAGGCCAAGCTCCTCCCCGGAAGCCCAGTTGGGCTGTGGCCTTCTCTAGGTTCTCCACACCTTGCTGTCCCTGCCCACACACAGCAATTAATCATTGCTGCCTCCTGACAGCTTTGGTATAATTATCTCGTATTATGAATGAAGTCTCGCCTGGTGGCCCAGGCCTCCCCAGAGAGGCCATGGCTCCCCGAGAACACAAGGTGAGAACTGTTATCTGCCCTCACAGGCACGGCAGGTGCATGCTGTGGAGGGGCCTTCACGGCGCTCTCTCCCTCAATCCCAGGCCCCTCTGGACTTGCCGGTTGGGGCAGATTGGTGAAGCCAGGCACCCCAGGGCCAGGGTAAGCAACACAGGCAGGAAGAGGACTGGAACAGCAATAAAGAGAAATGATAATGATGAAGGCACACGGCCTCACTCACTTGCTCTTCTGGCCTCCTCTTGTTCTCATCCACTCATTCCCAAAGTTTTGACTGATGCCAACCAACTGTCAGACATGGTTCTAGCCGCTGGGCTGCTGTCTGGAACTGGACAGACCCCTCCCCCAGGGAACCTAGCATTCTGGGGAGGAGAGCTGGCAACAAGCAAATAGAGACAAGATGAGTTTACATTGTGCTAAGTACTATAAAAGAAGTCTATAGCATGGACTGAGAAACGCTGGCAGAGGAGAGACTTTGCTCTCTGAGGAATGACATCTGAGCAGAGGTGAAACACACACTGGGCAGCGGGAACAGCAGACACAGGCCTTGGGATGGGAACGTGCTGGCCTGTTCAAAGAACAGAAAGAAAGCCACTGTGGCTGGAGCAAGAAGGGGGGAACCGGGTCTGACTGGTCAACAAGGGATGTTACATAGGTGCCAAAGGAGTTTAGCTTTTATTCTAAATTTAGTGGACACATTTCTAAGAAGTGATTTCTTGGTGCCCACTTAGCTGCCTGGCCTTTGACAGTTTGCCTGTGTCTGTAATTTCCTGCCCATTCATCCGTCCTTTCAACAAACACCTACGAGCATCTACTGTGTGCCAACCTGGCCCTGAGGACACAGCAGTGACAAAACAAAGCCATGCTTCGAGAGAGCCCACCTCCTGGAGGAAGCGACCCCTGCCCCACCTCTTCTGCTTGGGCCGCTCAGGTTCAGGCTGCCGGCTCTCAGAGACCCACTCGGGATGCCCGCGGCCGCCAGGTGGCGCTCTGCGCCTGCGCATGGGCAGCGGCTCGGGGGTCTCGGGCCGAGACCCGACCCAGGCAGGGGAGGGAGGGGCGGCCGGGCGGGGGGCGGGGCCCGCGCCGTAGGTTGTGTGACTTTGGGTTTGACCTGCCTGGAGATGAGCTAATCCCGCCGTATAATAGACTTTGGGGAGATAGGGAAAATGGCTGCAGCACTATCTGCGTCGCCATGGGGACCATCGCGCGCGCGCAGGCGGGGCGCAAGCCTGGAAAAATACAGCCTTTGTCGGCGGCGCGTGTCACTCACTGTGCGGGGACCTCAGGCGTTGGGGCTCCGGTCTTTCTTACCCCAGGTCCAGAACCAGGAGGCTCTGGGCCCCTGGCAGGGCGTGCCCCCTGAGGAGGGTTGGGACCCCTGGGTGTTCCCAAACTCTTCCGAAGACCTCTCCCCCTTACACACCCGCACACTCCGTTTTCTGTCACAAGCACTCGTGTTACACAGCACATCCCACTCCTTCTACTGTGGCGTCTATCAGACCCGCACACCCCATTCTCTCTCTTCTGTCTCTTTCCCAAGCTGGAGGGGGCCTTGCTCGTGTGTCAGGTCCTGAGCGTCCACATGCGGCCCGGACAGACCCCGACCACTGCCCTTCCCCTTGCCGCTCTTGCAGCGCACCCAGGCACACCCGGGCAAACAGACACACAAGGACACAACCACCCTCACGCGGATCCTTGCTCAACCCAAGGCACACCCTAGGGTGAACACTGACAACGGCACATTCAATCCTGGCATTCCCAGGAATGCATGGATGCACATGCTTACAAGCATGCATGCCCCCAAAACACTAAGTAGGTGGGACACCCCCAGGCACACACCAATCAGCAGAGTAACACACCCATGCCTGAATATGCACATATACACCCACCCTAGTGGCGGGGACACCAGCCCCTAAGTGCACTCCTGAACAGCCTCGTCGAGGGCAGATACACTGAGGCACTCACAATACGCTCATCCATCACACTTGTACACACAGACTTGCACACCCACACCTTTGCACACGTGTCTACCCACACTGAGTGACATGCATGCCCACACATTCACGTGCAACACCCCTTCCTCTGTGCACCCTCAAACAGCCTCATCTCAGCCATCTCCAGGCACTCACAGCACACACGCCCAGCACGCGTGTGTTCATGGGCTTGCACGAGTGCACTTCCTTGTAGCACACTTGTGTGACATACCCGCATGTGCACCAACACCTTTGCTTGTTCAGTGACCATCCACGGGCACACTCGCATGTCCATCCAGACACACCGGGCACACCCGGGGGGCTTACACTCGGGTGCCCCCGGGAGGCAGGCGGCTCGGGCACTGGGCGCCCGGTATGCCCCCCGCGGACGGCTATCTGCCTGCCCATCAGCGCGCGGATCTGCGGTGGTAAATGATGCATTCGATGGCGGGCGCATTTGTTGTGCGCGCTCTGAAAGGGCTCCGATAATCTGGAAGGCAGAGATAAGGAACACCATTTATTCCGCGGCACTTTGGAAACAATTCCCAGCCCTGTACAACCCCATTCTCGGGCAGCCTCCGGGAGCCGGGCAGATAACGATTGGCTATTCATTATCTTCGCCGGGAACAAAGATTAGCCGGCCGAGATGAAAAATTACCCCGGACAGCGGCGCAGCCCCACGCGGACCCCCCTGCCCGCCACCGCCCCCCGCGCCTCGGTGCCCCGCCCGGCCCGCAGGCTCTGCGCTTACGCCCTGCCTTCCCCGCGGCCTGGCGCTCGGTCTCCCGCGCTCTCCTTGGCGCTCGGCAGTGCCGAGCCCGTGGCTGTCTCTCTCTCCGTCTGTCCATCCTGCCCAGCCCATCTTTCGTGTCCCCACTTTTGCCTCGTTCTCTCTGGGGCCCTTTCTGCTCTCTCCCTCTTCCCCTCTCCACGGCTCTCTGGGTTCTCTTCTCTCTTCCCATCTCTCTCTTTTTGTCTTGCTTCACTTTCTCTCTCCTCTCTGTATCTGTCTCTTATCTCTCTGTCCCTGTCTCTCTCTGGTTAACACTTTCAATGCTTTTGTTCCCATCTCTCTGACCCTTTCTCTGGCCACTTTTTAATTGTTTGTTTCTGTCCATCCCTGAGTGTCCCCAGCCCACCCCTCCACTCCCCACCAGCGTCTCTGTCTATCACTGTCACTTTTTAAAATCTGTCCTTGGGGCTCTCTATCTCGTCCCCCCTCCCTGCTTGTCTGGATCTTTCTATGACTAGGCCTCTATGTCTCAATCCACTCCCATCCCAGAGAGCCCCACATCTCCAGGCCTCATGTCTCCTGCCCTCTCAAGGCTGTGTTGTTGACCACAGACCAGAGCCAGGGAGGCTCCAGCCAGCTCCAGCCGGCCCAACCCAGCAGGGAGACGGCAGGTGGGGTGGGGGGTGTAAGACCTGGAATCCTCCTCTGAGGAAACAAGACAGAACTAGACAAGGCTGTGAAGACACTCAGGCCCCCCTGGGTTCATGGGGTTTGCTCCTGTGCCCCAGGACTGGCTCGCCCATGCCCTTCCCCAATGAGGCCGGGGGCCTTGGGAGCGGGTGGTCCCCGAGAGCCCACCTCATTAGGGCAGTTATTCAGCATGGCGCTGGCCTTGGCAGATAAGCCTTATCAGCTCATCTCCCCCTCCCACAGACAGACAGAAAGTGCCCTCGCAAATGGCACCCTGGAGCTCCACTGGCTAGCAGACAATCTGGGAAGACGCACATACTGTGTGTCACCTAGGGACACACTCCTCCATAGACCACAGACACAGGGTAACACTGGGTAGAGAAACACACATAGTTCAAAGATATATTCATACTCACAGATGCTCACATCCCAGATACACAGGCACAAACACCCTCCCAACACACATCATAGAGCTATACACAGATACGCAGACATACTTGGATACACTCTCCCTCCTACCATCATCAGTTCAAAGATACAATGATACACACCCATACCTATGCTGTTAAAAACAGACACGCACACACACCTGCCCACACACCCCAATTCATAGGCACAGAATACCCAGACACACACTGCTAACAACCCACACAGGGACACAGACCAATTTATAGACAAACTCTTGGAAGTACCTACTTCCCATCACGTGATTCATGGACACAGTCATCTCCCAGATATGCAGCCACAGGGACACACATCCAGTTCCACAGATACATTCTCCTGCATGCACTCATGGCATCACTCTCTGAAATAGCCACACACAGTACACACACTCTCAGGGACCCCACAAAACTCTCAGGGACCCATAATATACAGATTTGCAATACACAAAGTCTCAAGGACCCACAAGAAGCAATCGGCATACTAATATACTCAGTTTTGCAGACTTTGTGCTCACAAATGCACATAGACACACATGGGCACCCGGGACAGTGCACGCACACCAACACCCTTGCTTATTGCACAGAGCACATACACATGCAACACAGTCGCCACCACCTTCAAAGAAAGACCCACAGACAGCAAGCGCCCACAGAGATAGGGGGCCAAAGACAACCCCCCTCCGGGGTATACGTGAGCACGCACTAGTTTTCCCTGGACCACCGACTTTCCGGTCCTTCTAAGGCAAAGCACCTTTTCTTTGGGCCCAAGATCCAGGCCACTTTCACTCTCCCTGGGCAGCTGGAATGGAACTCAGGGCGGCCCCATTGCTGGGTTGAATTTCATGGAAAGGACGTTGGAAGTTCAGGGACTAGACTCTCCCAGCTCACAAACCTAGGTGCTTTCTTGAGGTGAAGACCCACACCCCAACTCCTCCCCCACCCAGCCTTCCAAAGACAAGCCCTCTGTTCCCCCTCTGGCCGCCTCCAGTGCAAGGGTTCTTTAAGGATGCGTCAGGGAGATTCCTCAAACTCCACTCCTAAAATGCTCCGGAGTTGGGGAATTGAGGGGGAGTATAGGTGGGGAAGACAGAGGGGATATGTCTACACTTAGAAAGTCAGCCTGGAAATGACAGAGTTGTGTGTGTGCCAGAGTGTCAAGCTATATTTGAGCGTCTGCACGTGTGCTTATCGGTGTGACCCAGATCTCCTGTATGATGATGTCCACGCAGCCACAGCTGTGGGTGCTAACGCGTGTGCACAGAGGTGTGCGTGTCCGTGTGAGCACTACTGGAAGTGGGTTAGAGAAGGAGGAGCAGACATCTGTGTACGTGCGTGTGCGCCCATGGCTCTTCAGAGTCCCCGAGGAGTCTTGGAAGAGAAACGTCCCCAGCTTTCTGAGAGAGCATCCCCGAGAGCAGGGGTGCGCATATGTGCGCCTGGTTCCGAGTGTGTGCGCCCTGAGTGCCTGCCGGCCCTCGGCCCGCCGCCTGGTTGCAGGACCAGGGAGACGGGGCACAGAGCCCCGGGCATCCTCCTGCCCCCCTGTGGCGCTCCCGCCCCCTCAAAGTGCTGTCGAAATAAAAAGCAGCGGCCGCTGCGGCCGCGGGGGAGAGAGAGGCAGCGGGCGTTGAGGAGGTAGTGAGGCCAGTGCCACCAAGTCTCTATCTCTTGGCTGCCGTCGTCCCCACCCCAACCGGCCCCCATCCACCACCAGGCGAACAAAAAGCGGCCTGCCGCGCACCATGCGGCCGCTCGGCGCACCGCCCGGGCCCTGCTGCTAGCTCGCCCCGGGGTCCTGGGGGCCCGCCTGGCCACCCGCCGCACTGTGAGCCCCGCTCGGCTCTGGCCGCGTCCGCCCGGGGGCGCCGCCCGCCGCACCTCGCTCGGTAAGTTCCCCCCTCTCTGCCCGGCCAGGGCCCTTCCAGCTCCTAGGCTCGGCCCAGCCGGCACTCTAATCGCACGGTCTGCTGGCCCCGTGGCCCCTGACATGTGGCCTTCGGGGCTCGCCCCGGCCCTCCCAGCGTCTAGAACCCCAGGTCCTAGGGGCCTAAGTCTGAGAAAGTATTTGGGGCGCTGGGGACAGCAGGCCGGCCTCGGGCCTCCCGCCGCCCCATTTCTCGGACGAAGCCATAGGCCGCGAGCCCGGGTTATTCAGAGAGCCTCGCACAGCGCCCCCCCTCCCGGCCCGGGAGCGGGGGTCTTTGTCTCGGCCGCCCCCCACCTCCAGGCCGCGGCGGCGGATGTACCCGAGCGGGGCCGCCGAGTGGCGGCTGCACCTGCCGGCTGGTCCCGTGCGCCGGCTTTGCGCGGCTTAACCCGGCTCGCTCCTGCGTGCGCCCTGGCGCGCCAAGCCCCGCGGCCCTTTATCCTGTGTGGCTGGGGTGCGTGTGGGGGAGAGCGTCGGGTCTGGAAGTCTCCCCCCTGCCCCAAGCTGGAGCTGGAATCGGTTTAGTGGGATTTCAATAAGAATGGGGCCGCCGCGGACTCGGGGATCTGCCGCCGGGAGGCGTAGACGGCGGTCTCGGTCTGTCCGGACGCGGGGCATTTAGAATCTTTCGGCGGCGGCCAGGCTTGAACTCTAGATTGCCCCAACTACGAGGGGGAAGTTCCGGCGTTCAGGGCCCCCGGGTGTGGCGGCCGCCCCTTTCCCGGAAAACATGGAAGGAAATTCGTTGTTTTGGAAAAAGCCGCGTCTCCCGGGATCAGAACATCTGGCGGTGAGGTCCGAGTCTACGCAGGCACCTGGCACTGGGATTCGTTTATGAGTAGGCAAGATTTGAGAAGCAGGTAGGGCCAGTGCAGCCCAGGCGTCTGGAGAGGGTTTCCCCGCCGAGTTGACAAATTGCAAACAAATTGCATCTAACGAAACGGATTTACCAGTTGTCATGCCGCCGGGCCGCTGGGCGCTCTGAGTAAACCGTGGTTGTTCGTGGAGGAGGGAGAAACGCGGCCGATTGTCTGCAGGTCTCAGCAGGGCCCCTGGGGGCTAGAACCTGGTCAGGAGATACAGGATCTCCGAGGCGCCTCGGTCCAGGGCGCTGAGGCATCTAGGCCGTTGGGCCCCTGTCTTTACAATTCAAAAAGGCCCAGAAGACTAATGAGGTGGGAAAGCCAGCGCGGAGGCCAGAGGAGAGGGAGCCTTTAGATCCGGAGGGCTGACAGTGAACCCCAGAGAGCAGGAGAGGCTGTTGGAGCCCTGGTGCCCACATTGGGGAACCGCTCTGGGGGGATGGTGGCGCCGCGGCAGTTCTGAGGCCTCGCCCTAGAAGAGACTTCTGAACCCCTCCGGCTAAAGCAGCCCCCACTTCCTCCTCAATACCCCTCAAGGCGCATTGCCAATACGAGGCTAGGAGCCCCCTGGGTTGCCAATTAAGGCAACCCCTAAACAAACAGATTTCTTTGACACCCGCCCCCCCCCCAACCCCAGCCGGCCAATTAGATGCCCATAGGAAAAGGCGAGAAGAATTAGGTTACAAAGAGAGAGCAAACTTACGGTCCCAGAGGGGTGGCCTCCAATGAGCAAAGGTCAAACAAAGGGCGCTGCAGGAGGGTTAGTGGGACGAGGGAGCTGGGCAGTGAGACCCCGGCCAGGCGGGTGAGGCCCTCTAGAACTGGGCATCGGATCCCGGCACCCCCAGCTCCTGGGCGCAAGCACCCCGGCAGCACCGACCCAGGCTCGGCTGGAGAATCTTGGGTCACTTGAAAAATGCCATTTAGGAAATTCAGTTTTGCCGCTGCCCTTCCCCAGTCCTTTGTGAAATCTCGTTCCCATGTAAGGAAAGTGACCACTTCTTAGTGCGATCAAAAGGCAGCAACCCACATTTGCAACAACCCTTGGGAACGAATAAAAAAATGAAAAAGGGAACTCATCCCTCCGGAGATGTTCTGGAGACCCCAACGTCTGAGGCCGTAAGCTGAAATAAATCTGCTCTCCTCAGGCCCAAGAACGGCCCCCCAATAGCCCCAGCCGATCCTGGGGGCTGCCCTCACCCTCCCTGGACGTGTGTTTGGACGGAAGTGATAGGAGGATCTGTGCTTCCTAGTGGGCAAGCCGCCTGGCTACCGTCCGTCGGTCTGTCTGGCATACACGAACACTCACGAGGGGAGGGGGCTTTATGGGCCAGCTGGGCGCCCTGCTGCCTGGCGCCCCGCTTTTCTCTCCCAGGAGGCTCTTGCTGCGGGAGAGCGCAGCAGTCCCGGGTCCAACGCAGGAGCTCCGATCAAAGTGGAGGCCTCGGCCAGGCCGGCTGCCTGCCTGCCTTTTCGAGGAAGGCAACCCCAGGGCCTCGAGAGACCTGGCAGGGCTCCCCTTTCCCTTTTTTTCTCTAGGCCCGGATTTCGGGAAGGGAGGCTGGTGCGAGTCTCCCGAGGTCCCTGCTCAAGCGTTGCTTAACCGCCCTGCTAAGCTCCTCTGCGCGGCGATTTTCTGAGCCGCCGAGCGGGGTAATTGAATCCGTTCTGCGTCGGGCCGGCCGGCGGCGCAGGGCTGCCGTTCGGGCAGGGGCCCCGGCCGGGCTGGTCACCTCCGCGTCTGCGGCGGCCAGGAAGCTGCCACAGCGGGGCTGCAGGCTGCCTTGGAGAAGCTTGAAGCGAGCTCGCAGTGACGAAACTGCAGACCCACCCAGGACGAGGGATAATTTGGACCGCGTCTTTGGGGGAAAAAGGCGAATTACCTGCTTTCTCAAGGGCTCGAAGCGGCTACCTCCCCGCGAGTCGTGGCGCCGATCTCGGCCCCACGGGAAGCTTCCGCTTGGCTCCGGCGGCTTCCCGCGCTGGGTCACGGAGTTGGAGTCCAGCGAGGCAGCCTTGCCGGACGCGGGGGATTGTTCCCGCGGCCGCGGTGTCTTTGAGAAGCTGCCGGTTGGCTCCGGGGACCCAAACAGACTCGAGGCTTCGCGGCGATTGCATTTTACGAGTTGATGAAGAATCGTAAGCTAAAGGAAGGGAGGAGAGACAGACAGACGGAGAAACACCGGGTCCGGGCCAGACGGCGCGCGTTGCGGGGAGCGCGAACCGGGAGGCACGGAGGCCTCTCACCTGCCCGGCCCTCGCGCTCTCACTGCCGGCCCCGCGCTCTTTACCCGGCGGACGCCGGCCTCCTCTCCCGCTGAGCGGAGTTCCGAGAGGCCCAGGCCCCGCGCGCCCCAGAGAGGAGCGGAGCAGGAGGCGCAGCGGGCGGCCAGGGCAGGCGGGTCCCCAAGGGCCCGCGTCGTGCCGGTTCCCAGCCGGATGGGGCTCTGCGTCCCCGGCCCCGCACCTTTACCTGCGCCAGGGCCTCGGACAGGCGAACGGACAGCCAGACGAAGAGGTAGGAGGAGGCCCCTGGCCGGGGCCCGCGCCCCCTTGGCGCTGCCCAGAGCTGGCCTGGGAGAGGGTGACGGGGGCGCGCCCGCGGAGCTGGGCCTGGCCTGGCGCCCCCCAAGCCGAGGGGACCGAGGGCTTTCCTCCCTCCTCGGATTATTAAAAAGTTCATTTCCTGGCGAATCGGGTGACGTCAGGGGCCCGGCGTCGCGGTGGCGGGGCCGCCGGGCCGGAGAAGCCGCCTCCAGTTACCCAATTACCGACTGTCAATCCCGCCGCCCCTCCCCCCACTCTCCCGGGGGTGGCCCGGACCCCTGCCTTCCCTCCTGCCCCGGACCCACCTGGGATTCCTCTGGGTTTCTACCCCGAGAGACGTGGACCCAGCGAGGGGAGAGGGGCTGGAGAACGTCGACTACTCCCCGTTACCCCGCACCTGTCTCAGTCCCCCCAAATTTCTTTGTTCCCGACCCCCCTCCTCGGCCATAGACTCCCTTCGAGCCTCGGTCTCCTCCGTCTGTACAATGGGAGAGAGCAAGGGGATTCGTGCTCCGGGCCCGCCCGACCCACAGAGCTGGATCTCCGGATTGGAGGTGTGTGGAGCGCAGTTCCAGGTGACTGAGGGGACAGAGTTCTCTGACCACCGCCCCCCTTTCCACAGGGGCGGCCTTAGGGACCCCCGGGAGGAAAAAAATGCCTCCTCCTGCCCGGAGGCGTCTCCTACGAGCCGGCGCCGGCGCCAGTCCGGGTCTCCACGGCCTCGCCCCAGGCAGTTCGACCCGTTGGTCTGCGAAGGCCACGCCCGGGAAGGGGACGCCCCCTCCCCCTCTCTGGAGCCGCCAGCCAGGCCACCTCCACCCGGTCAAGCTCAGTCCTAAGCGGCCTCTTGTCCGAGGCCCAGGTGCCCCCTGAACCCGCGTAGTTCCTGCCCCTCACCGCTCCTGCTGTCCCGCAGCTGGCCTCCCAACCCCCCGCCCAGCCAGCGCCCGAGTTGGGGGAGGGAACGGTCTGGGTAGTAGCCGCACTCGGCTGGCAACGTTCAGTGGTAAAGGAGGTGGGGTTCGAGAGAATGGAAGAGCCAGGGTCCCAGGGAGAGGACACCCAGACCCCCAGAGGGTGCGCGGCCGGGGCTCCGGAGGAGGAGGCCCCAGTTGGAGGTTAGTTACTGGGAGGAGGCCCCAGAGGTTATGGGGATCCGGGAGTGTCCGCAAGAGGGGGCGCAGCAGTCAGCCCGCGGGGTGAGGGTCCGGGGCGCGTTGGCAGCAGGGGCCGCCGAGAGGGCACTGGGAGGGGGCCCGCCGGCGGAGGGGGGCCGGCCGGCGGGTCAGTCCCGGAGTCCAGCGGCCCGGGAGTTGCGGGCGCAACCAATGGGGGGCGGAGGCTGGGCGGCGCGCGGCGCTGATTGGCTGGCGCGGGCTTCTTAGGCGTGCGCGGCCCCCGCTTCATGTCTGTGCAGGAGTCGCGAGCTGGCGCCAGGGCGGCCGGAGGATGCAGAGGGGCCGGAGCCCGGCGGGCCTGAGGCCGAGACGCGCGCTGTCCCCTGCTCCTACCCCGTGAGCCCCGCCAGCCGCCTGACGTGCCGTCCCTGAGCCCGCCACCCCCGGGGCTCCCGTCGGTGCTGCCCCCATTCTGAGGCCGCTCCCCGCCTCTCCGCAGCGCTGCGTGTGTAAGTTTGGGGTGCGAGAGCTGGCGGGGGCCTGGGGCGTGCCAGGCTCTGAGAGGTCTCTGCGGGGCCCAAGGCTGAGGCCAGGTTGCGGGTGACTGCTTTGGTGTGCCTTGGTGAGAGGTCCGGATTGTGCCGCCTGGGAGTGCGCAGAGGGGACTGGCTCTCAGGCGGTGGGGCTGCGTGTGCCTGTTTGGGGGCGGGGGGGGGCCGAGGTCAGTATGTATATCCGGCGCCAAGTATAGGTTTGTGCGTGTCGCTAGGATCATGTGCTCCAGTGGGTGCCTGGGCGCCTGTCTCCAACTTTTAGTCTGTGTTTATGTTGGTATGTACTAGGAAGGTGGGGGTTCAGTGTGAGTGTCTGACTAAAGTGCGACTCTGTGTGCTTTTGTTGGGGTAATTGGTGTCAGGGCTCCTCTTCGTGTATGACCCTGTGTGCACGACTGTGTGGCTTTGGGACCTGGGTCACCATGTGAATGCGCGTGGCTGAACTCTCTCCTCCGCCTTCCTTTCGTTTTGAGCTTTGAGCTTTCCTCCCACCCGGGACTGGTCCGCGGCTGAGCTCGGCTGGGGCGCAGCGGCTCCCGGGACGCCGCGTGGCGGGGCTTTGGGGGTGTCGGGCCGTGGCTGCGCCCTTCACGCCCCCTTCCGTCGCGCAGGGACACCTCCGCCTCCTCCGCCCAGATCTCGACCCTCCGCGGGCAATGGAGGTGGCGCCGGAGCAGCCGCGCTGGATGGCGCACCCCGCCGTGCTGAATGCGCAGCACCCCGACTCGCACCATCCGGGCCTGGCTCATAACTACATGGAGCCCGCGCAGCTACTGCCTCCCGACGAGGTGGATGTTTTCTTCAACCACCTGGACTCGCAGGGCAACCCCTACTACGCCAACCCGGCCCACGCGCGGGCGCGGGTCTCCTACGGCCCCGCGCACGGTGAGCTCGGGGCCCGCGGGTGACTGGGAGCCCAGGCGCCGCGCGCCAGGCGCGGGAGGGGAGGAGGCCCCCAGCTGCCTGCTTCCCGGATGTGAGATCCGCAGGAATCGGAGCAGCTGAGAAATCGGGGCGGGAAAGGTGGGGGCAGTGGCCTTTGGGAGGCGAGTCTGGGCCCCGTTGGGTTTCGGCCCATTTTGCAGGCCTGTAGGGGTTTCCTCTAGGCCCTGTCCGGTGGGGTTCCTTCTGTGCCACTTGTCCTTCAGCTCCAGACTGGCATTCCTGATTATTGCCGGTGGGGGTGTTATGTTTCTGGTTTTCTTTGGGGAGGGGTCTACTGCTGGTCGTTTTGTGAGTTGTGGTCCTGTGTATCTGTGTACTGGCTCGACCCAGCCCCTGTGCACCCTGACCCCTCTACCTCCTCCTGCAGCCCGCCTGACCGGAGGCCAGATGTGCCGCCCACACTTGTTGCACAGCCCGGGATTGCCCTGGCTGGACGGGGGTAAAGCAGCCCTCTCGGCGGCTGCAGCACACCACCACAACCCCTGGACCGTGAGCCCCTTCTCCAAGACACCGCTGCACCCCTCAGCTGCTGGAGGCCCTGGAGGCCCCCTCTCCGTGTACCCAGGAGCCGGCAGTGGGAGCGGGGGAGGCAGCGGGAGCTCTGTGGCCTCCCTCACTCCCACTGCAGCCCACTCTGGCTCCCATCTCTTTGGCTTCCCACCCACGCCACCCAAGGAAGTGTCTCCTGACCCCAGCACCACGGGGGCTGCCTCCCCAGCCTCCTCTTCTGCAGGGGGGAGTGCGGCCCGGGGAGAGGACAAGGACGGCGTCAAGTACCAAGTGTCACTGACCGAGAGCATGAAGATGGAAAGTGGCAGTCCCCTGCGCCCAGGCCTGGCTGCCATGAGCACCCAGCCTGCCACACACCACCCCATCCCCACCTACCCCTCCTATGTGCCGGCCGCTGCGCACGACTACAGCAGCGGACTCTTCCACCCCGGAGGCTTCCTGGGTGGCCCAGCCTCCAGCTTCACCCCTAAGCAGCGCAGCAAGGCACGCTCCTGCTCAGGTAAAGGCAGGTGCTGGGACCCAGTGGAGCTGGGGAAGCTTGTGCTTTTGGGGAGTGGGAGGCAGGCTGTGATGTGGGAGAGGGGCAGTGGCAGTCTCCCAAATCTGGGGATGGGTGATGTCCCGTTCTCAAAGGCCCCAACAGATGTTTGAGACCCCGGAATGAGGAAGAGGGGAGCATAAAACTTTTGCCCTTTTCTTAAGGGTTCCTGGTGGCCCCAAAAGTTCATTTCGCTTCCCCACTCCTCACCCTCCCCTCCAAGGTTGGTCACTGCCAGACCAGAGCCCAGAATGGGAACTCCCCCTTCCCCTCCCTGAAGCTTAAGTGCGAATTTGAGCAGCCTCATGATTTAGTGTGTGAGAGAATGCAATATGCAGGTGAGAGCCACAAGGCTGTGTGTACGTGCGTGTACGTGTGTTTGTGAGTTTGTGTGCGTGCTGTGGGTGCACTCCACAGGCTCCAAACCTTTAAGGAATCTGGTTCTCCAACTCAATCCGTCCAATCTTGGGATTTCGATGGCTCCTGATCTCCTTGGGGGATTTCCCCCAAAGCAAAATTCCCAGGACCTGTTCGCTCCCTGCCCCCAGGCATACCCTCCCCTCCCCGAAGGCTGGAATGAGCCTGGGTGCCTCTGCCTCTCTGCCGCAGGAGCGTGGCTGGGCCAAACTGGGTTTGTCCAGGAATCTGGCCACAGGGCAGAAACGGGCTCATGTGGGGCTCCTGCTGTCAGCTCCTCCTTCCCAACCTGGTTGAACTGGGGAAGAGGGAGATTTTAAAAACTTTCACTCCTAAATCCAGGAATTAGCTTTTCTTGCCCATATATTGACAATTTAGTTTAAACTAAGTGGGGAGATTTTTCCTGGATAGCTCAACGCTAAGGCAGGTACCCTGCTTGACTGCTGCCCACCCCCCCCACTGTGCCTACCTCGGTCCACCTCGGTCCCAGCTCGGGCCCTGTTCTTCGTGTCCGGCTAGCTTGCCTTTAATTAGTCCTTTCTCCCACGTTTATTTTACATTTTATTTGAATTTCAGATGGTCTTTTAACAACAATAACAACAACAACAAAAACAAAAACACAACGGCAAAGCCGAGGTCACTTAGTCTACTTAGCTTAAAAACGAAAGGACTTATTATTTATTTTATTTTAAAGAAAGACAAGTTCGGTCCAAGTGCAGGACTGAATTCTAGGGCCTCAGCGGGCGGGAGGAAGCTGAGGAAAAATAAGGAAATTACTCTGGACTGAGGACAGAAAGACAGGGTAGGGGCCGAGGGCACAGATCCTGGTGCGGAGATTCAGGAGGTGGCAGACGCAGTGGGGGAGAAAGAAGAGACACAAAATGGGGGGGATTAGACAGGGGGCTGGAGTCCTCCCGGGCGGCCAGGTCGAGCCGGCGGCTCCTGCCACCGCTCTGCCGCCGGCGAAGTTTGCTGTCAATACCCTTTCCTTGTCTCCTGGAGAATCCCTGCGGCCTTGCCCCACCGCTCCCTCCTGCCCCGTTTCCCTTCCTTCACGGGGATTTTAAAGAGAGAGATTTGGCCTTAAACTGTTCTCTGGACCCCCCTCCTGTGGGGGAGACCCCCTGGGTCCCTCTTCCTGCCCGGACTGGAACTAAAGTCACCCCCTGAGGCTGCCCGGCGGAGGTAGACCGCTGCTGATCAGCGCCCGCCTGGCACTGGTTAGCCCCTCGCCTGCCCCTGGCTCCCCACCGTGACCTTGCCGATGTCTCTCCCTGTCCCCATTCAGAAGGCCGAGAGTGTGTCAACTGTGGGGCCACAGCCACTCCTCTCTGGCGGCGAGACGGCACTGGCCACTACCTGTGCAACGCCTGCGGGCTCTACCACAAGATGAACGGGCAGAACCGGCCGCTGATCAAGCCCAAGCGGAGACTGGTAGGCAGCGGGGCTGGGTGGGCCGGGCCCGCGGGCGGCCGGCCGGGAGGGTGCTGCCCAGTGGTCGCCGATTAGCAGGGCCAGCGAACCTGGGCAGGAGCAGACAGTTAGTTAAAAAAGTAATAGTAACAACAAAACTCTTCAAATGCAGATGCTTCGCCACTTGAAATCCTCTTATATCCTTAAAATCAGTTGGATGTCAGTTGGGGTCACCCTTCTTTCAGGTCAGATTTTCCTCTCTGCAACCTGCCAGGTGCCCTCGCCCCACCTCGCTCAGGGGTCCCCACAGTTGAGTGTCCAAGGGCCCAACCCCAGTCCCTGGCCTCCGTTAAGCTCTCTTTAAAAATAGGGCCATGAAGTAATTTTCCTTGTAGCTCCGGGCAGTTCTCTCTCTTCCCAACACACAATCCCCTCTTGCTTATTTAAATAAAACACACACTCACACCAACCACCAAAAAAACCTGCCCTTTATTATTTTTCCATGGAGTCACCTATACTGTGTATTTTCATTTGAGTGATTTAAAAAAAATGCCCTTTCGGATCTCCTGCCGGAGTTTCCTATCCGGACATCTGCAGGCTGAAGATAAGGAAACTCCGTGTATCTGTTTCCGGCCTCCGCGAGTTTTTAGAGTCACTCCTCGGCTCAGTCCTGCCTCTCGCTGGGCTGTTTTGAAATTTCTAATACCCTCCACTTTGCAAATAATGCGTAAAATGCTAAGAATAATAAATATATTTTTTCAGGGCGAAGTGATTTATGAGGCTTAAATCGCTCTCTGCTTCGGGGGCCCCCTTTTTTTTTTCCTGGAGCGAGGGCCGGGTGAGGGCCCGGGTGGGGGTAGGGGTAGAGGATACGGTGTTGGCCCCTGAGTCAGAATTCCAGCTTTGGGCTGCTTACTCACCCTCACCCTTCCCTGCCCCCGTGGCTGCAGTCCGGCAGGCCCTCTGCGACCAGGCTCGAGCCTGGGGCCATTCCAGCTTCTGCCGGCCTTGGCCCCCCACCCCCACCCCTGCAGCCTGTGGTTCTCTGGGAAGTGCTGGGGAACTGGTTCTGTTCCTGTGGGGCTGGCGCTGGAGGGCCCAGGAGAAGGGGTCTGCTTTCCTGGGTCAACACTCACTCCCCTTCTCCTCTTAGGGGGCTTCAGCCCCCTTCTCCCGAAACCAGACACTCATTCCAGATCGCCTCCGCCCTGTGTCCCTCTAGGGGCTGGGGGCAGTTCGAATCCTTGAGGTTTGGGGTACGGGGTACTAGGCGGATAGACCAGCATTGATGGGAATGTTCGAGATCTACACAGCCCACTGTGGCTGCCTCTAGCCCATGTTGTGACTATTGATCCCTTGAAATGTGGTTAGTGCAATTGTTGAAGGGACTGAATTTCTAATTTTATTAAATTGTGGTTCAATTTAATTTAAATAGCCACCTGTGGCTAGCGGCTACCGACCAGCACAGCGCAGCTCTAGCCTCCCTGAGTGTCCCACACCCCCATCCTGGGCAGCTGCCGGGTCTCCCTGTTCTGGCCTCAGGGAGGCTGACACGCCCAGGATTATGGATTTTGAGGGGAGTCATGTGAGAATGCAGCTCCACACCCAGGGGATTCAGGGGGCCAAGCCAGACTTCTAAACCAAAGAGCCCTTCTGGGGCCTCAGTTTCCCCATCTCTAGACTGAGGTTATGTGGTGGTTGGGGGAGGTGGCTCATTTTTCCTTCCAGCTCTTGCAGCCCCTTGAGCCCGAGATCAGGCTTGAGAGTTCATTATTCTAAAGTTCTGCGATTGTTTAGGTCTCAAATTCTAAAGTTCCATGGCTCCACGATGCTTTGATTCCCCTGTGAGATTTATGCTCCTGGGTTAAATTGGTGGGGGCCTGGGCTGGGGGAGGGGAGGTCGAGGTGGGGCGTGGGAGCCCAGCCTGCTGACGCCGCCCCTCCCCTCCCAGTCGGCTGCCAGGAGAGCGGGCACCTGTTGTGCAAATTGTCAGACGACAACCACCACCTTATGGCGCCGAAACGCCAACGGGGACCCAGTCTGCAACGCCTGTGGCCTCTACTACAAGCTGCACAATGTGAGTCGCCCCGCCCGGCCCGCCCCACCCCTCCCCGGGGACGCTGCTCTTTGTGCTGCCAGGGAGAGGCCCCAGCCACAATCTCGAGCTTGGCTTGGCTTGGGAAGCTGCTGGCTTCCCATTGAGGGGCAAGCTGGCTGAAGTCTGTCCCCCACAGCACGGCCCAGCAGGTCTAGAGAAGTGGTCTCTGTTTAAAACAAAAGTCTGGGCTGGGGGTGGGTTTTGGTTTTGTCGATGGAGGGCAGGGCTGGGATTTCATGGGTGGTGGGCGTGTGGAAGTGGGGTCCCCAGCCCAGACCTGCCTTTGCCCCACACTGAAGTTGGGGGTAGGCATGTTGCCCTGGGAAGGGAGCTCAGCCCCCTGATGGCTTTGTGGTTGCCCCCAGGTGAACAGGCCACTCACCATGAAGAAGGAGGGGATCCAGACTCGGAACCGGAAGATGTCCAACAAGTCCAAGAAGAACAAGAAGGGGGCTGAGTGCTTCGAGGAGCTCTCCAAGTGTATGCAGGAGAAGTCCTCCCCCTTCAGCGCAGCTGCCCTGGCCGGACATATGGCGCCCGTGGGCCACCTCCCGCCCTTCAGCCATTCGGGACACATCTTGCCCACCCCAACACCCATCCACCCCTCCTCCAGCCTCTCCTTTGGCCACCCCCACCCATCCAGCATGGTGACCGCCATGGGCTAGGGACAGCCCCACACGAATGGACAGACAGATGCCAAGGAGGGTGGCCGGCAGTGCGAGACTGGGAGCTCCCAGGACAGGTGGACCAAACCCTTAGCCACCTGCCCTTTCCTGAAGACTGATGCCACTCCTGCCCGCCCAGCCAGAGCCCCACGCTGCCTTGCCTGTGGACACTCCACTCCGCCGTCAGCAGTCACTGTGAAGACTCTTGCCCGGGCCAGGAGGTGGCCCCGGCCCGGCTGCTGCCCAGGTGGGGTTTCTGTCACGAACAATTGTTTGGAGAGCAGAAAGGACAACCTTGTGAAGAGAAAAGGAGGGGGCAGGGGACAAAAACGAAGGAACTTGTTTTTAGAAGGAAAAGGGAGTAGGCAAAAATAATTTATTTTGCTCTTGTTTCTAACAAGGACTGGGAGAATTGGAGGTCTGAGCTGCCCGAGTTCTCCGGGTCTTCCTCGGCGCCAGGTGCCACTTGGCCCACCTGCCAGCCGGGTCTGGAGGGCTCTCAGCCTGCACCTTCTCCTCCGGCTTCACTCTCTGCAAGGCTGAACCCCAGGCTGGCCTGAGCCAATCCAGAGGGTGCGGGCCCTGGCGGCCGGGTCTGGAGGGCAGACACAATCACAGGCGGTCCTGCGCGGATTCCCAGGCCAGGGCTGGGTCACAGGAAGGAAACAACATTTACTTGAGAGGGGAAATGTCTCCCAGCTCGCTCCCCTGGCTCTGAGGCCAAAGCTGGTGTGACCTGCGGCCCATTAACGGCCCGAGCCACAGCTTGCCTCCTCTGCCAGGTGGACCCCTGTACATACATCCTTTTTCTGCTAAGCCCTCAACCCCCTCCCCTCCCACTCTGAGATGAAAGGAAAAGAATTAAAAAAAAAAAAACAAAAAACCTGCCTAAGCTTAACTCGCTGATGAGTTAGTTGTTTTATTTTTTAAACTCTTTGGGTCCAGTCAATTGTACGTTGCCACGAAGCCCTTACTATGGAAAGGAATAAAACCTACAAACCAAGGCTGTAGCTTTGCATTTATTTTTGGAAAGTTCTTGGATCCCACAGCCCTTGAATAGGGAGCTGGGGACCAGGGGAGAGGCCTTTGCTGCTCTTGGCTTTCGGGGCTGGTCTGGCAGGTGGCGAAGGCAGGAGTTGGGGGTCGGTCAGCAACAGGACTGAGGGAGAGGCCACGACCCTGCTGGGGTCCCGGGAGATGCCTGGGTTCTGCTCTGCTTTCCTGTGGCTGTCTGGATCCTTCCCAAGGTACAGCTGTACATATCTGTGTCGGAGCTTAGATTCTGTATGCGGTGGGGGGTGCGAGGGCTGGCCCAGGAAGAGGATTGTGCTGATGTAGTCGGCCAAGTGCAATATGGGCAGGCCATCACTGCGGGGGCACCACAGGCGGAAGTAACTTATTTTGTACTAGTATCCGCATAAGAAAAAGAATCGGCAGTATTTTCTGTTTTTATGTTTTATTTGGCTTGTTTTATTTTGGATTAGTGAACTAAGTTATTGTTAATTATGTACAACATTTATATATTGTCTGTAAAAATTGTATGCTATCCTCCTATTCCTTTAAAGTGAATACTGTTAAGAATAATAAAATACTTTTTGTGAATGCCTCTGGCCTGACCTGTGGGCTCCCGGGGCTGCCAAGTCCCAGGTGCAGAGATCAGCAGTCAGACCGAACTGCTCCTACCGCCTGGTGATTTGGAGGGAAGGCTCCTGGAATCAGGGGTGGGGTCCTGTCTTGCTGGGTCTGAGAGCCTGACACCCCTCCTCTGAATTGTTTCCATCTCAATTTTCTCGTTATCACCACCTGGGGGTCTTGTTGGCTGGGTGGATACTGGAGAGGCTCAGGGAGGCCATGGTTTCTGCAGCCTTTGGTCCACATGCTGAGCCTTTTCCTGAGGGCTCCACTGGGGGTCTTGCAGAACCCAACAAGGACTGACACTCCCCCCTATCAACTTGTTTCTGAGCTATCTGTTCACCAACGTTCTGTTCATTGACAAATCTGATCACCAATGTCTTTGATCACGGATATCATTGAATGTGGGCATCTTTAACAATGTTGGTCATTGGAGATAGACAGCTTGACTGATATTCCATGATCAATGACATGTCTGATCACCAGAGCCTGTGACTATGGACATCTGATTCCTAACAATTGATCACCAATATTTCATCAATGCCTCTGATCAATGATGTGCTGTCTGATCACTGACAGCAGCAAAATGTCATCACTAATGTCTCCAGTAACTGTCCTTGCTCACCAATAACATGTCTGATCATGAATATCTCTTATCACCAATGGTCCTCATCAGCATCTCTATTCACCAATATTTCTCTATTCAATGTGTCTAGCTGCCAGCATCTCTGATGACCACTGTCTCTTTCCCCAAGATTTCTACTCACCATGTCTGTGATCACCAGTGCCTCTTATCACCCATGGTCCTGATTACCAATGTGTTGATCACCACTGCACCTTGTCACTGGTGTCCTAGGTCATCAAGAACTATGATCACCAATGTGATTGATCAATATTTTTCTAATCAATGATAGATCTGATCACTCATATGTGATGTACAACATCTCCAGTCACACTATTTCTTATCACCAGTGTCTCCTTAACAATGTCCTTTGTCACTTGTGTGACATCTCTAATATCTCTAACCAACAGTGTGCCTGATGACTAATGTCCCCGATCATGGGATTCTTACCATCAAATTTTCTAACCATCAGTGTGGTCACCAGTGACTCTGGTTACTAATATCTGCTTGACTCTGATCACTAGGCTCTCTAGTGTCCAAACCAGTAATTCCTGAATCTTCTTCTCTTCCGAGTCCCTGATGACCAATGTCGCTATACCCCTGATCACCCATACCACTGATCACCAACCTCCCCGGTCATTGGTATCACCAGTCACCCGTGTCTCTGATTACCAAATTCCCTAGCCATGGATGCTTTTGATCCCCAGTAGGTCATGCATCAAGATCTCTGGATGTCTCCAGTCAATGAATCTGATTAGCAATACCTCTTCTACCCTTGGTCATCAAGGACACGAGCACCAAATGCTTTCATCACTAATGCTCCCGTTGCCCACATCCTCAATCCCCCATGCCCCTGACCAATGATTAATGATACATCCAATCAACGATCATTCTGATCACGAGATCTCTGAGCACTGCCTCCCAATCCTCCATGTGTGAACTCTACTTTCTCTGATCAGGTGTTTGAATGATGTCATGTCCCAATGACTCCACTGTCTCTAATTACAAGTCACTCTAGTCATATGTTACTGATCAATGACTCCTCTTGACTCTAATCATCATCATCTTTGGTCACCAGGGTCCCTGATGTCTGGTATTTCTGAGTGCCAAGCTCTTTGTTCCTTGGAAGACCTGATGTCCACTGGTCCAGGAGGCTTTCCTTTCATTCTTCCCATCCCAGAACAGACAGGAACCAACTCAGGTGTGCTGTGGGTACTTCCCCGCCCACCTGAATGCATAGTGGCCCTGCCCTCTCAGTCCTTCTCGGCAGCTCCCCTTTCACCCCTTCCTCAGCTCCCAGCATCATGGCCTCCCCTCCTGACACCTGTGGCCACGGCAAGGGCAGAGATGGTCTGGCTCTCCCGTGCCAGCTCATGATTGCAGGATTGTGTGTCTAGGTGATCCTGCACTCAAGTATGTACGTGTGTGTGCCTGTGGAACACCTTGTCTACACCACGCACTGCTCTAGGTGTGGGGCTATACCAGCGACTAAGACCAACAAGAATTTCTGCCCCAGAGTAGCTTACATTCTAGGCAGAAGGCACAATGACAACTCTACCTGGCCTCTGGCAAACCGTCCTACTTGCCTGGCCCCAAATCCAGAGCCCAGAACCAGAACCTGGAGTCCAGAGCTTTGAGTCTACAGTCTGTACACCAGAACTCAGAACCAGAACACAGAGCCCGTACCCCCGAATCCAGAACTTAGGCCTTGGAGCTCAGAATCCAGAACCCACATCCACGAACTGAGACTGGGGCCCAGAACCTGGACCTCAGAAACCAGATCTCAGAGCATGGGGCCAGGCACCCTGAGTGTGGACCCCCGAATCCTAGAGCTTGGAGCTCAGAACCCAGAACTGAGGACCCAGGACATGGAGCCCAGAGCCTGCACTGTGGCTCAGGACCTGGAGGCCAGAACCCAGAGCCTGGAATGAGCACTGAAAGAGGCCCCCGTGTTCTCTGGTACTCCCCTGCTCTTACTGCCTTCCCTCTGCCAACCCACATTTTTGGCGGGCCCAGTGTCAGGCCCTGTGGAGGGCACCAGGGGCAACAGCAAGAAACAAGCAGATGTGTGGCTCCTCTCCTTGCAGTGTCAGGTCCAAGAGAGTGGGGACTGTGTCTGTCTTGTCACTCTTGAGTCCCCATGGCTTCTTGCAGGCCTGTGGTAGGTGCTTCGCAAACGTCAGCCTGACAGATTCGTCTGTCATCTCGCAGACGTTTACTGAGCCCCTCTGTGCTTGGTGCCAGGGGGTGGATAAAATACAAAGATCTGGCTCTGGTGAATGAGAGCTCTCCGCTGCCAGGGAACTCGGGGAGGCAGGGGCTGTTTCTGACAGGCGCGGCCGCAGCTGGCCAGGCTGTGGTGGTGGGGACGGTGTGGAGGCGGGAAGCATGCTGGCCCTGTGGGGCCCTAGGTTCAAGTCCTAGCAACTCACTTCTGAGCAGCAGAACCAAGCTCCGGGCTCCTCCCACAGCTTCTGTTCCCTCCTCCACAAACCAGCAGCTCCTAACGACGACTCCCACTGCCCAGAGACATTGAGAGGGCGAACAATTTCGATTTTGTGGCCTTAAAGCTCCCGGGCAGGGCAGGCAGGCAGGCAGGCCCAGCGCTGCCGCCAGAGGCCTTGTTAGCAGGGTGACGGCGCCTTTCGGATTCTGCGGGGCCTGGCGCCAGGACGCCTGGGGTGGGAGCGCCTTTGTTCCATCTGTTTGCACCCAGGTGGGGCTGGCTGGCCCAGGCCCCTTCCTCCCTGCCTTCTGCTAGGACACTTCCAGAGCCCTGACTTCTTTCATTTTCTGTAGGAAGAAACCAAACCCCCTTTGTAATTCTTGGAGACCAGCTCCGTCCTTCAGAAGTCCCTCCTGCCTCCTGGTGACCCGCTGCTGGGAGTAGAGAAGAGAACAGCCCTCCTGGTCCCCGGGCCACAGGATGGACACTGCCCCAGGGGAATAAGACTGGGGAGGAATGCCTGCCATCCCCCTGAGGGAACGGAAGGACAAACTCACCCGGGGCAAGGCGGGAAAGAAGACAAACAGCGTGAGACGCTCCTGAAGCCAGCGGGCTGATACTGTACAAGTTTATAATACTAGACAGGAGAGCAAAAGTCCACTGGGTGGTTTTTTTGTTTTGGGTTTTTTTTTTAGGCAAAATGATAAAATGGTCCCAAACATTATCTGGAAAAACTAACAATACCAGAGAACAAGTCAGAAAATTGGGGAAAATAGAGCGAGGAGTGTGTGTGTGTGTAATGCTTTCCAATATTAAGCAAGATTCTATGATCACAATCATTCAAACATTGTGGTTCTGCTGTAAGAAGAAGCAGATCAATGACTCAGACTCAGTACGCCTGAAACAGATCTTATTATTGACAAGATAACAGGTGATAAAGGAGCCATCTTGAATCAATGCAAGGGTGGAGGGCTATTCAATCAAGTGGAGTGCACCACTGCTGGTTAGCATCTTGCTAGGTGAACACCTACTCAGAGATCTAAACCCGGCAGCATGTGGCCTTATCCAGCCAGCAGACAAGTTTTGTTTGGGCTGCATGATGTTTTGCAAAACTATGAAAGAGTTGCAAATGATTTTAAATTACAGGATTCACTTAAAATTTGGCAAAAGTTCTGGCCCCGTGTGTCTGCAGGGCCATCTCTGCATCTCTTTCCTCATGAAGTCCTGCCTCCGTCTCTACCTGGCCCCTCATACCTATGCCTGCCTGGGTCTTGGGGACACTGACTTTGAGTCCTGATATCATCAGTACATCCTATGACACATTCAAGATTTATTAAGGAGTTAGTCCTGAAGCCAACCATTGCAACCTACTCTGCTGGATCCCCGAGGTTGGTTCCCCCACAGAGAAACTGGCAGAGGGACACTGCAAACCTCAAGGTTAACTTCAGCCTTTCTAGGAACCAAAGAGGGAAAAGAAAAGTTATTGCCACGCGAGGCGCCAGGCTCCGTGGGAGCAGCCGCGGGGGAGCAGTCGGGCGGTCTGGGATAGAGCTTGTGGAACAAGCTCTGAGACCACTCCAGTTCCAAGACTCGAATGTAGAGTCACGATGCAAACAGCTGTTGCAAGAAGCTCTGACACAGAGATGTTTGGGACGTGATTATAAAACCGAGACTGGATACAACCTAAACGCTCAACAAAAGGACGTGATGAGAGTATACCCCCAAAAGAGTCGAAAGCAGGGACTCGAACAGACATTTGTACACCATGTTCACGGCAGCATCAGTCACAGCAGCCACGAGATGGAGGCAACCCAAGTGCCCATCGAGAGGTGAATGGACAGACAAACCGTGGTCTGTACATATAACGGAATATGATTCAGCCTTAGAAAGGAAGGAAATTCTGACGCCGGCTACAACATGCATGCACCTTGAGAACATTATGCTAAACGATATAAACCAATCACAAAAGGACAAATAGTGTATGATTCCACTTTTTTTATTTTTAAATTGGCCCTGAGCTAACATCCGTTGCCAATCTTTTCTTCTCTTTTTTTTCTTCTCCCCAAAGCCCCCCAGTGCATAATTGTATATTCTAGGTGTGGGTCCGTCTGGTTGTGGCATGTGGGACGCCACCTCAGCATGGCCTGATGAGCGGTGCTAGGTCTGCCCCCAGAATCCGAACCAATGAAACCCTGGGCCGCTGAAGCAGAGTGCATGAACTTAACCACTTGCCCTTGGGGCCAGCCCCCTGATTCCACTTTCATGAGGTACCCAGAGCAGCCAAATCTGTGGAGACAGAAAGTAGAATGGGGGCTGCCAGGGGCTGGGAGAGGGGCTGGGGAGTTGGTGTTTCATGGGGACAGAGCTGCAGTGTGGGAAGATGGAAAAGTTCTGGAGGTGCATGGTGGTGATGGCTGCACAGAAAGCGAATGTGCTCAATGCCACTGAGCTGTACACTTAGAAATGGTTAAGACTGTCAATTTTATGTTATGCGTATTTTACCACAATAAAAAAGGGAGGGAGGTGTGAGAATTATAGGACATCCACTAGAAAGCCTTTAAATGCCTCCTGAAAGTTACGCTCTTAGAGCTGGGTCACAGAACAGAAACGTGTAACACGATGACAACAGTAATTACAGCATGGAGGTGGAAAGAATTTTCACCAATTGTTAACAAACGTGACAAATGATTTTTCCTTCTTTTCTTCCCCATTTTCCAAATAGTCCGTAAAGAGATTTAATAACTTTAATGATAAGATTAATATCATTGGGGGCCAGCCCAGTGGCATAGTGGTTAAGTTCATGTGCTCCACTTCAGTGGCCCGGGGTTCTCAGGTTCGGATCCTGGGCGCGGACCTACGCCACCTGTCAGCCACACTGTGGCAGTGTCCCAAGTACAAAATAAAGGAAGACTGGCACAGATGTTAGTTCAGGGCCAATCTTCCTCACCACAAAAAAAAAAGATTAATATAGTAAAATAATCTTTGCAGAATGGCAGGTAATTTTGCAAAGTACCAACAAACTCAAAATACAAAAATGCAACAAATAATATAAATACACCCTGCCCACCCACAAAAAGACAAAGCCAGGCAAAGGCTACACAGAGGCGTCCTTCCCAATAGAAGTGTAAGTAAATGGCAGGGGAAACGTTCAGACAGGACAGGCGCTCAGCCTCAGGAGTGACTAAATACATGCAAATTAAACATGGAGGCCCCTCCTACCTCTCCTCTAGCAACAATAGGAAAGGCTCGCAGACGTGCACAAGAGGCCTGGGGGCCATTGGTGGGAATGTTGACCCAGACACCACTGCTCTCTGGCCCGGGGAGCCCTCCGCAGGCGCACCTCCTAGAAACACCAGGGCAAGAAAAGCACAAGTGCAGATTTTTGAAAAAAGCAAATTGTGAACAATGTATAAAGCACGGCTTTTTTTGTTGTTTTAAAAATATTTGCGTAAATATAGAAAAATATCTGGGAAGATATATACCTAATGAATAATAGCTGTTAGTTCCAGGAAGTGTGACAGATTGAGGGTGGAAGAGAGAACATTTCACTTTATACACTTGTGCTATTATTTTAATGTGTCATGACTATGTAATGTAAAAAATAAAGAATCATTAACAAAAACCTGTTTTCTCTATCTTGTCCCTGACTGGTCTCGCTCCCTTGGGGTATTCTCCACTTCAGATCTGCCTGGAGAACTCTCTTTATCCTTCAAAACCCCAGTCAAGGATCCTAGGGAAAGCCTTATCTGAGTCTGCCTCCCTTGGGCCCCTCGGGGCCTCCTCAGTCCCCACCAATGTCACTCAGGCCTGACTGTGGAGCAGACAGACCTGCCTTTCCCTTGCTGTGCAGCCTTGAGCAAGTGGCTTAGCCTCTCTGAATCCTGACTCATCAGTAAAGCAAGATCCCACCTTTAGAGCTTGTTGTAAGGATGATATGAGGAAGGCAGAGGGTCCTCAGTCCTTGGAGAGCCTACCCAGCAAGGAGATCGCATTTCAGCCCACTGGGCTTCAGACTGAGCCCTCATGCCCTCCTCCACTCCTAGAAGACTGGGGGATTTGGGGACCCTGGACAAGTTGCCTGCTCTTTCTGTTCCTCTGCCCCCACAGCACCTAAGGCTCTCAGGGTCCCTGGGACAGCCAGAAGGACGCCCTGGCTAGTTAGTATGTGCATTCAGCACATCCCCCGATCCTGCCCCCAACCAGGCAAGGTCCTCACAGGTCATCCTTCCGGTACAGCTGGGGAAACTGAGGACCAGTGTGGGCAGGGATGGAAGGGGGTAGGACAGGATCTCTCCCACTGGCACACAGGCTGGACTTGAGGGTCACCTCCCTGGAGAGAAGACTTGGTACCCAGCTGCTTCCTCCCACCACTCCATCTGTCCCTCCCCCAGCCCACACTGGGGCTCCCTAGGGAACCCTGGGAAAATGCCGCCCTTGCTCCTCCTCCCCGCCCTCCCCCCAGGCTTGGCTGTGCTGATGGCGGGGGGGTGGGGGTGGGGGTGCAGCTGTGAGCCAGGTTTCCCAGGCTTTCAGGGGCTGCGGGATGGGCCCTCCCTTTGCTCAGGATGCAGAGATGGAGGGGTCTTTCCTACACACACCATCCCTCACATCATCCCCTGGGACCCATCCTCACCTCACACGCCCCGCTTCACCCCCTCACCTGTTCTGTCACACCACCCTCCTCCCTGGCCTCAGGATCCAGCCCCACAGCCTGTCCATTCTGCCAGGGGGATCTTTCTTACCCTTTCCATTTCAATTATGAAATACTTCAGATATCCAAAAATATAGTTACTAATATAACACACACCACGGTACCCCCAGGATTAGTTTTCTAGGCTGCATAACAAATTGCCACACACTTAGCTGAAAATCACACACGTTTACTGTCTCCTGGTCTTATGGGTCAGAAGCCCAGGCACAGTGTAGCTGGGTCTTGGCTTTGGGTCCCACAAGGCTGCAGTCAAGGGGTCGACCAGGGCTGGCTTCTCATCAGAGACTCGACCGGAGAGCAGTCTGCTTCCCAGCACCCTCAGGTTTCGGCAGAATTCATTTCGTCGCAGCTGTGGGGTTCTCGGCGCGCGCTCCTTCAAAGCCGGCAACAGAGACTGTGAGAGAATCAGCCAACAGGACCTCCCACAGCGGGAACGGCATCCCATCGCCTTTGCTGTATGCTGTTGGTTACACACAAGCCACAGGTCCTGCCCACCCTCCAGGGCACGAACACCCGGAGGCAGGAGAATGGAGGCAGCTTACAGTCCCTCTGACACCCCCTCAGCCCAGCTGAAGAAAGAAAACATTACCCTCCTGAGCCTGTGGCCTCCATGCCTCCCACCACAGAGGTGGCCAGGACTTCATTACTCCCGTGCATGTTATACTTTTACTACATATGTACGAATCCTTAAACCACAGGCCAAATTCTTCTGCATGTTTTTACACTTTATATAAATGGTGTCATAACAGATGTTTTCCTGTGACTTACTTTTTTTGTTCACCATTACGTTTGTGACATTCAGTCACACTAACACGAGTTCTTGTTCATTCCTTTTTCACTGCAGTATAATATTCTTTTTTTTTTAAAAAAAAGATTTTATTTTTCCTTTTTCTCCCCAAAGTCCCCTGGTACATAGTTGTGCATTTTTGGTTGTGGGTCCTTCTAGCTGTGGCATGTGGGATGCTGCCTCAGCATGGCTTGATGAGCAGTGCCATGTCTGTGCCCAGGATGCGAACCGGCGAAACTCTGGACTGCCAGAAGCCAAACGCACGAACTTAACCACTCGGCCACGGGGCCAGCCCAGCAGTATAATAGTCTATTGTGTAGCTATAACAATATATTTGCCCCTTCTCTCATTTTCTACTATAAACAGAGCAGCACTGGGTGTTTTTACTCCCATTTCCAAGCGTGAGGGCTTCTCTGGAGGGATAAGCCTAGAAGTGGAATTACTGAGTCAAGGGCCTTGGCACCCTCACACCTACAAGTTAAGGCCAAAGAATTTTCCAAACTGGTTGTTCCAGTTTACGTTTCCACCAGCAGGGCATGGGAATTCCAGTGCCTCCACATCCTTGCCAACACCTGGTAATGCCAGACTTTTCCATTTCTGCCAGTTTGTTGGGTATGACACTGAACCGCATTGCTGTGGAGGGATCTTTCTAGAACATGCAACTGATCACGTCCTCCCCCCCGTTTCAAATCTTCCCAAGGGCTCCCCAGCCCAGGACACGACCCAAGCTCTTGGGCTGGCATCTAAGGCTTGCACGACCCTTGCAGCCCCTGGTTCTCTTCAGCCTGCGCCCCTCACCGTCTCCTCAGTCCCAGGCACACTGGACTACAGCTGTGTGCTCTCCCATTGCACCGAAGCTTTGCGCTCGCTGTTCCATCTGTGTGGAACCACTCTCACGTTTCACGGTTTCCACTTTATTAATAAATAAATAAATAAGTAAATTTAAAAAAATAAACTAAATAAATCACTAAACGCTTGCGTGTTTTCAATGTTCACATTAAAGAGATGAATGCCTTTGGCCCACTACAAATACACATCCAACGTAGCTGAGCTCATCAAACGATGACGCAGGCTGTGGACCGGGGCTCTCGGCTTCAGGACTGTTGGCACTTGAGCCGGGCCTTCTCTGTGCTGAGGGCTGTCCCGTACATTGTAGGAGGTTTAGCAGCATCCTGGCTCACCCTACAAGATGAAATAGCAAACCTCCCCGAGTCATGGCAATTGACAATGTCCCCAGTCATTGTCAAATGTCCCCTGGGGAGGGAGGATTGTCCCCGTTGAGAACCACTGGTTTAGAAAGAGATTAATTCATAATACAGCCAGGACGGTGAGGTCTGAAAATGCTGCACGTGCTCACAGTTGCACGATGAACATCTTCTTCCCACCTTGAAATGTTATTTATTCCAAGAGAGCGACTTGCTTCATTTGGAAAGGATACCCAGTGTCTAAATCCATGGCCTTCCGTGTGTGAGGCCAAGACTAAGGACCAACATTGCCCCTCCCAGCAGACCCTGCCGGAACCACCCTCTGTGAGGCCTGCCAGGGGTGGTCTCCTCTGACCAGCCTTCTCAGAGGCCCCAGACAGTGTCACCTCTCCCTCCAATGCTTGCTGCAGCTGCGTTCACATGTTTGCGTGTCTCTGTTCCCTGTCTCACAGCCTGGGATGGGGAGTTCCCTGGGGCCGGGGGCAGGGGGGACACAGCTGACACAGCCCTGCTTCCAGCCCCCATGCAGACCAGCACAGGAAAGACCTGTGGATCTGAATAGTGAATTCCATCCAAGCCACCCAGGCCCTGCTCCAGCTGACCCACTGAACCCTAGCTGGGGCTGGCAGGGGCACCTTTGGAGACACTGTGCCCCAATCCCCAGGCACAGCAGGGCTGCAGGCCTTGTAGGGGGACTGTGCATGCTTGTGTGCATGTGTGTAAGGGATGCACACATGCGTGGGGCATGGGTGCTGAGCATGCATGTGGAGGTGCTGGGTACCCTATCTGGCTATCCTGTCTAAAAGGGAAGCCTCCTCGCTCTGAGCCCTCTTTCTGCTTTGGTTTTCTCCATGGCACCTCTCACTACCTGACACTATATTAAATGTTCATGTGTTATCAGTTTCTTGTATCTCCCCAACTAGACATCAGCTCCAGGAGGGCAAGGCCCTGTCTAGTGTGCTCACTGGCATGCAGACCTGCAGCACCTGGCACACAGCACGTGTGTGGAAAGGAGCTCAAGAAACGTGTGGGATGGATGGATAAATGGATGAGTGAGTGGGTGGATGGATGGATAGATAGATGGGTGGATGGATGAGTAAGTGGATGGATGGGTGAGTGAATGGGTAGACAGATGGATGCATGGATGGATAGATGGATGGATGGGTAAGTGGATGGATGGATGGATGGATGGGTGGATGGGTGGATAGGTGGATGGGTGGAAGGGTAGAAGGGCGGGTAGATATGTAGATGGATAAATGAGTGGATGTCCGCTGGTGTGAATGTATGCATATGCATGCAGGCCTTGACTCTGGAAGATACTTCAGGTTTCTTTCTTCTATACTCTTTCCAGAAAGACACAGGAAGCCCCACATCCTAGAAGCTGCAGAGGCCCACAGGTCCGTGGGGAGGCTCTGGGGGTTGAATCCTCCTGGAGGCTTAGGACCAGCTGTTGGAACCGGAATCAGAGCCCGGCCCAAGGTTGCTCCAGGCAGGGGTGGCCTGGGGAGTAGGGCATGGCCGGTGGGGAGGGCAGAGCGGCCGTCTGAATGGGCTGGTATACCTTGGAACTCAGAGGGTCACACAAATGCATCTTCGTTTGGGCAGGAAAGCTCCACTTGAGGCTAGATCTGAGCCTCCAGAGACCACATGGGCCACCACCAGGAAGGACGTTACCTGGGTCAGGATCGGAGGGAAGGACCCCAGGGACCCAGTGGGTGCTTGTCACCAGTGGCTAGGAGGGTTGAGCAGGAGGCTTTCCTGGACGTCCTGGGGAAGGAAAGCAGGTCTGAGCCAGGTCTGTGTTGGGACATGAGCTGAGATCGTCCTGGCATCTCTGGAGAAGAGAGGCTGTCCCCCACTTCCCTTGCCTCGCTGTCTGGCACTGAGTGCTCACCATCCCTTCCTCCTCTCTAGTAACCCACCACCTGACCAGCTCCCCATCAGCCCACCAATGTGTATGTCCATCTGCCCGTCCACCCATTCTTCCACAGACCTGTCCATCTACCACTCCTTCCTTTCACTCATCTGTCAGTCTGTCCTTCAAGCCACCAATCTACTCACCTACCTATCCACCTATTAGCAACATTGCCATCACTGTGCTAACAAACAAGTACACACAGCTCTTCCTCTGTTCTAAGCTGTCCTCACAGCAACTCTATGAGGAAGATACTATTGTTATCCCCATTTTACAGATAGGATGAGGAAACTGAGGCACAGAGACGTTAGGTGACTTCACCAAAAACGTACAGCTAGTAAACGGTGAGATGTCTGACTTGACACGCCAAGCACTGAAGCTGTCAGTCTGCCTGTCCATCCATCCATCCACCCTTACAGCTGTCCATCATTCGGTCCCTTCACTCACCTGTCACTGTCCATCCAGTGGCCCATCGATCCATCGCTGTCGCCCATCCATCCTGAAGGTAATGCAGTTAGAGAACCAGGGACCCTGAGGGGAGAGAAGGCCCCAACCGCCCATCTGGCCAGCCGGGGTGGACTGTGGGGGTGGGGTGGCTGCCCTGGGTGGGGCAGGGCTGCGCGGGGCTGCAGGGAATTAGCAGTGACTGCCAGGATCATCTAATTAGGGACGCTAGTGATAAGCAGATAGGATCGGGGTGATTAGAATCCTTTTAAAAAGCCACTCCATTAATTACAGAGACAGAGAAGGGCCTCTGGCTGCTCAGAATACCAATTGGCTGCCTAATCAGCCTCCATCAGCTTGCCCTGGGGGGGTTCCTGGGACCACTGTGTGACCTTGGGTGGGCTCTGCCCTCTCTGGGCCTCCCTGTGCACTGGGTCAGGCTCCCAAGATCACCTGGTCACCTTCCTCTTCCCAGGCCGTGACTCATGGGGCTGGCTTTAGGCCGGGCCTAAGAGGGGAGGAAGCCCAAACAGAAGGAGTTTTGCCACCCGACTGGCAAACGAGGGCAGAGAGGCCCAGAGAGCGAAAGTGACGGAACAGCAAGAGTGCAGCCCGGGCTGCGGCTCACGCCTGCTCATGCCTGTTCCTCCATGAGGCCCTGTGGAGACACCCAGAGGCCCCTGCTGCTCCCACTGGTCTCCACCAACACTTTCAGCTTAAGGACCTCAGAAGACACCAGTCTGAATCCTTTGCAGCAGAGGAAATGACCTCTGCATGCTGCCACCAAGTTCCAAGCCTTCCTTGTGGGGAGTTTGCCCCCAGCCCTGGTACCCGGGGTGGGGGCTCTCCATCCTCAGGCGCCTTTGGCAGTGAGGAGCTGGGCTCTCCTCCACGTGCTGTGCCCATCACCATGAGTCCTACTGAGTGGTCTGCTCTCTGTGCTCTGGGACAGCCCCGAACCCAGGGGATACGATGGGGTCTCCAGCCCTGTCCCCAGCCCACCTGCCTCCTACCGACCACCCCAGGATGGGGTCTCAGGCTGAGCAGAGGGCCTGGGCTCAGAGCAGGGCAGAGAACCTACTGAGGGGCTCTGGAATCAACAGTGGCCAGAAAAAAGTTCCTCCCTGGAGGACAGTGGAGGCCAGCATCAGAGTCTCAGGCAAGGCAGAGAGAGGGGACCTTGGGTTTGGGGTGAACCCTCCGTAGGATTCTTGGGCATCTCATCATCCTGGGTCCCTTGTCTTTTATTGTAACCACTCACACGCTCTCCCGATTACATTTTTATGGGACCCTCAGGCTTCACTTGTAGCGATGCCACTGTCACCAACCCTCTCACCAATATCACATCACCCCATCACCACCACCATAAACACACCATCATCCCTACCTCCACCATCATCACCACCATCATTATTACCATCAACCCCACTGTGACCACAACCTCAACCAGTATCACCATCGCATCGCATCACATCACTATTAACTATTAACACTCCACCACTCCCATCACCACTACCACGTCCCACTTCTGACACGACCTCCATCACTTCAACCAGCATCACCATTACTATGACCATCATTACCATCCCTATTACCAGCATCACCACCATCACTATCATCACCATGACCACCACTTCCATCACTACTACCATCATCCTGCCTCTGATATCACCTTCCTCATCATCACACCATCTCCACCATCATCTCCACCACCATCTCCACCTCAACCAGTATCTGCATTACCATGACCACCAATATGCCCATCATTACCATCACCACCACCACCAGCATCACTACCATCACCACCACCATATTTACCTCAACCAATGTCACCACTATCATGACCGCCATTATTACCATCATTACCAAGATCACTATTATCGTTACCACGATTTGCATCTCCACCTCAACCAACGTCCCTATTGCCACCACCTTCCTCGTCACCTCCATCATCTCCTCTATCATCACCACCACCACCACTACGTCTACCTCAGCCAGACTCACCGTTACCTCTACCTCTTCCACCACCGGTGTCATCTCCACCTCTGACATCCCATTATCACTACCATCTGCATTGTCACCATTATCACTATGCCCACATTCCACACTACCACCACTTTCATCTGAGTCACCGTCACCATGATCACATGTACACAGTTATTTGCTGTGTATGAAGACATTTCATACACGTTTCCACAACCACTTGACGACCTGGTGGAATAAGGTCAGGGAAGCAAGTCACCGCTGATGGCCTCAGCCTGTGGGTCCAAAGTGAGTGGATCTCATGAGCTTGCCTGGAAGCTGCCGGAATCTCACAATATTCCCATAAGCTTCCCCTTAATAAGCGCGGGGTGAGGTGAAGCCTGCAGCTCTGAAGCAGGACTTCTCAGAAGATTGCCCAGAAGCTGCTGCAAACCTCCTGGTTGTCATCTGCCGGCAGCTGCCCCTTTCTTTTTCCTTTCCAAACCTCCTGCATTGGCAGACTCTAACCTGGAGTCATTTGGGTAAGGAGATTCTGGAAAATCTTCCAGAGTTTTCTAGTATGCAGAGGAGACCATAGGAGGTGGTGGTGGTAATGCTGAGTTAGCATCAGAAAACCCAGAACACCCCCCCTCAATATATCACCATCACCACCAGCACCATTGCTATAGCGCTCTGTCACTGCCACCAGCATGTCATTCCCACCACTTTCAGCATCCCCACCATCCTCCATTACTGTCACAGTTCCTGCCACCTAACCGTCACCACCATCACCACCACCACTCCCATTGCCACCACCACTGTTTCTACTGGCGCCATCATTACCACCGCCTCTGTCACCCCAATATCACCTGCAGCAGCCTGCAGTATAGCCCACTCTTTCTTCCCTGTAAGGGCATTCTGCCTCTCCAGCTGTTGCTTGAGACTTGCAGAACCTTCCTGAAAGAGTACCATTCCCACCCCGTTGACAGTGGCCTGGACCACGTGACATGAGCAAGCGTGACATACTGCACATCCCAGCAGAAGTTTTAAGAGGCGTCCCAAGTTTCTACCAGCTCTTACTCGCATCCTCAGAGCTGCTCCCTCAGCCTGGGATCCAGAATGAGACAACATGTGAGTTGAAGCCCCAGTGGCTGACCAATGGCTGCTAACAAGAAAAGCAGGCCAGAACAGTCTGTCAGAAGTTGCTGAGATGTGGGGGTGGTTACTGCACCAAAGCTATACGACACGCACCTTCTACTTCACTGCCTTCATCACCGCCACCGCCACCGCCACCTCCAGCCACGCCAAGAGCTCCACTAGTAGCCATTTCCATCACCTCCCCATCACGCCTCCACCATCACCAACACCACCTCTACCACCACCCGTCTCACAATCACCATCCCCTCCATCGTTACCATAACCACCACCACCACCACCACCACCGCAAGTTACTCTCTCCACCACACGCATTACTACTGTCACCACCAGTGTCACCATCACCTCCACTAGCACCACCACAATTACTGTCCTGCCATCACCGCTGCCTCCACAATACTGCTACCTCAATCACCTTGACTGCATTAATGGTGCCTTATCCAACACCACACACAGCCCCTTTTGTCGCTTTCGCCACAGGCACTGCAGTCAGCAGCGCTCCCAGCGCCACCATCGTCATGGAGAACTGTGAAGCATAAGCATCCTTCTCCAGCTCCAGTGGACAAGCCCATCAAGAACTGGTTCTGACTACAGTGACAGAAATCTGGTGACAGAAATACAGACATTTCCATCGGTAGCCACACCCGGTGGAGTTATCCTGCCATTCACCTCCTTCGCCCGGCACACGTGCTGGGTCTGTTAGCCTGCGCGGGTGGACGGCTGTGGGGCACAGGGCGGCTCCTGCTCTGGGAAGGTGTGAGGGCAGCGGCACTGCTCACTCTAGGTTGGGTTTGCAGAGTGTCTCCAGATTCTGCTTTCCTTCCTCTTGGCATTCGGGGTTGGTTGGAAGCTGCTGACCCCTGCGAGGTGCCTGGACCTAGCACCAACGAGCACTGAGGGAAAAGGGAACGAGAGAGGGAGAGCGATAGACAGGGACAAGGACTAGGGAAAGGAAGAAGGGAGCGAAGCGGGGAGGAAGGGAGAGAAGAGGAGTGCTGTTTCAGTTAGGCTTGGTGATCCAAACAGGTTAGGAGGTAGCTTCGCATGTTTTCCACCTTAACAGGCGCGGGGTGAGGGGAAGGCAGGAACAGACGTGAATCAGTGTTGTTAACTGCTATTTCTAAACATGATCCAGCGTTAGAAGAAGAATTAAAGAAACGCAAACGCTGGGAACCTGTGGTTACCTCACTCACCTTATTAGTTGCCTAGGGCTGCCATAGCAAATTATCTCAAACTGGGGGCTTAGAACAACAGAAGCGGATTCTCTCCGGGTCCTGGAGGTCGCAGTCCCAGATCAAGGTGTCGGCAGAGCTGGGTGCCCTCCGAGGCTCTAAGGGAGGGTCCTTTCTCGCTCCTTCTGGTTTCTGGTGACTGTCAGCTTTCCTTGCCCTGCGTCACTCTTTTCTGCCTCCATCTTCCCATGACCTTCTCCTCTTCTCTCAGTGTGTCTGTCAGCATGTCTCTTATAAGGACACCTGCGACTGGATTTGGGGCCCACCCAGATGAGCCAGGATGATCTCATCTTGAGATCCTTAATTTAACTACATCTGCAAAGACCCTTTTTCCAAATAACATCGTGCTCACAGGTTGGGAGGATTAGCACAGGGACACATCTTTTGGGGGCCACCATTCAGCTTACTACACTCACTAATCTATACTCATTATCAATCCCCATTTTTCTTACCAGAATTGAGTGCAATGCTTCTTATAATTGCTGTCTACTACAGCCTCCCTGTCTCTCACCGACTTGCTGTGTGACCTTGAGCACACTGCTGCATGTCTCTGAGGCTCATTCATTCAATAATTGTTTACTGATTGCCAGGCACCGTCCTAGAAACTGACAAACATCCCCGCCTTTGTGGGACTCGCCTCTGAAGGTCTGACAGGATAATGGGGCACAAGAAGAATGAACTGCTGCCCCCACCCTCCCCTGCCAGACCCCCTGGGGTCCCTCACTCCATACCCACTACACAGCCATTGGGCTAGGTGGATGTCCCCCCAGAAGCCTCGCTCCCCTCCCCCGGCCGCTGTTGCCGGCCTTGTCGCGGGCTGGGCCTGGCTCGCGTGGCTGACCCCGGCTCCGCGCCTCGGCTCCCAGGGGCTCCGCCAGCAGCCGGCGTCACGTGCGGGCTGCGTCCCGCCCAGGGGCTGATGTCACAAAGGCCGTGGCTCTGCGGGCCGCCGGCCGCGGGCAGCGCCCCTCCCCTCGCCGCCCCTCTCCGCGGAGGCGCCGTCCGTGCGTGCCGAGGCCGGGGCTATGACCAGGTAGCCGGCGGCCCGCACAGTCCGCGCCGCGCCAGGCCGAGCCCCGCCGGCCGCCCGCATGGCCAACTACTACGAGGTGCTGGGGGTGGCGGCCAGCGCCTCCCCGGAGGACATCAAGAAGGCCTACCGCAAGCTGGCCCTGCGCTGGCACCCCGACAAGAACCCCGACGACAAGGAGGAGGCCGAGAAGAAGTTCAAGCAGGTGTCCGAGGCCTACGAGGTGCTGTCCGACGCCAAGAAGCGCTCGCTCTACGACCGCGCGGGCGCCGGCGGCGGGCGGGCGGGCGGCCCCGCGCGCGGCCCCTTCGGCGCGGGCTACCCCTTCCGCAACCCCGAGGACATCTTCCGCGAGTTCTTCGGCGGCCTCGACCCCTTCTCCTTCGACCTGTGGGACGGCCCGCCGGGCGAGCGCACGGGCCGCGGCGCGGGGCTGCGCGGCGTGCTGGCGGCCGGCTTCGGCGAGTTCCCCGCCTTCCTGGAGGCCTTCTCGGCCTTCGACGGCCCGGGCCGCGGCGCCTCGGGCCGCGCCGCCTCCTCGGCCGCGTCCTGCGGGGGCCCGGGCGCCGGCAGCTCCCGCTTCAAGTCGGTGGTGTCCTCCACCGAGATGGTCAACGGGCGCAAGGTGACCACCAAGCGCATCGTGGAGAACGGGCAGGAGCGCGTGGAGGTGGAGGAGGACGGCCAGCTCACGTCGGTCACCATCGACGGCAAGGAGCAGCTCCAGCGGGTGGGCGGCAAGTGAGCCCCCCGCCCGCCGCGCCAATAAACGGGCCTGAGCTCCGCAGCCGCGCCTCTGTCCGGGAGGGAGCGGGCGGCGCCGGTCCCGCAGGCGGTTTGTGGGCTCCGGGCGGTGCCTTCTGGGCCGGTGGGGGAGCCTCCGGGGCCCCGCAGGGATTCACAAACTGCATCAGCTACCGGCCTTGCTTAAACCCTCGATGGCTCTCCCTGGTCGAAGCATTAAGATCTCAGGCCTCGTCCTCCCCACCAGGCCCTGTGACCCAGTCCCTGCCCACCTGCCTCGTCTCACCGCCCCACCACCCTCAGTCTCTGAGCTCCAGCCCTACTGGCCTCCTCTCTGTTCCTCCACTGCACCAAGTGCCTTGCAGCCTCAGGACCTTCACGCATGCTGCTCCCCCTGGCGAATGTCCACTCCTCTTCAGGCCTTTGGTCAAATGTCATTTCTTCAAGGAGGCCTTCCTTGACACCCCTGTTCTGAGTTAGCTCCCCACCTACCCTACTCTGCTTTCTCATAGCCCCCTCACCTGCTTCTCCATGACCCTTATTTGTTCATCTGTGTGACACCTTGACAGACGTGTGCCTCCTCAACCACACTGCAGATGCAGGGGGTGGGGCCTGCACCTGCCTGGCCCCTTGCTGTGTCCCAGAATCTAGAGCAACACCTGGCACTGAGGGGCAGGGCTCGTGTTTGCAGGTAGACGCATGTTTCTGGCTGTGGTGTGGGGAGTGTGTGTATGCGGTATGTGGGTATGTATGTGTGTGTGTGTGTGTGTGTGGTGTGATGTGTGTGTTGTGGATATATGTGGTGACATCCCAGGCAGGCCAAAGCGAGGCCACCCAGCGTGGAGGAGGAGCAGGAGGGCAGCAGCTGCCGGCAGTGCTCCGGGGTGGGCCCCTGCGCTGTGGCGCTGGTGGCCGTCCTTTGAGCGGTTCTGTGGGCTGCAGGCAGGGGGCAAGTGGGAGAGGAGGTGCACGGAGCCGCTGGAGGCAGACGAGACTGCAGACACGCGAGGGCCCCTGGCAGGTGTCCTGAGGACTGGGACCCTGTGGCATGACTTCCCAAGTGCCCTACGTGAGGGAGACTGGAGCCAAGGGTCACGTGTGGACACCGTGCACACATTCTGGCAGTGTCTGTGCAGCATGGAGGATGGTTTGAGCACAGTCCGCTCCCTCACTAGACCGTAACCTTACCTCCCAAACAGGCGCTCTGTTGGACAATTGCTCATCCCCAGCGCGCAGCCCAGGGTGTGGGGATGGTAGGACTCGATAAATACTGGTTGTACGAAGGTGTCTGTGTGGATGTACTTGCATGTGTTTGTCTGGGAGCCTGGATGAGGTCTCTACAGCTGGGCCACGGTGCTCTGTCCTCAGCATTGTGTCCTCAATATTGGCACCAAGGCTTAAAAGAGCCACAAAAGTCACAGGCTTCATGTTCTCAGACACACTCAGTGGGGAGGAGAGCAGGCCCAGAGCTGTTGCCCCAATTAGAAATAAGAAGATGCCCAGCCCTTGAAACTGGAGTGAGTATAATAATTCTGCTTAAAGAGAGGAAGGAAGGCAGACTGGGGAGACATGGATGGGTCTGCAGTGGGTAGGCATGGAGCTGGAGGTCTCAGTGGGCCATAAGCTTTGTGTGACCAGAAGGTGTTAATGAGAAAGTGCCTGAGAAGTCTCAGGTGCCCTCAGGGAAGTGACAGCTCTTCTGTTCAGACCTTCTGATCCCACTTTGTGCTCAGCCCCAGGCCCTGCCCTGGGAGAGGGGCAGGGGCAGCATGGGGCAGGTCCAGGATCCAGGAGAGGTGGCTAGAGTGGGGAGACTCAGCTTGGAGAAAGGCACTGCTGTCCCCAAGTCTCTGCAGGGCTGTTCCAGGCCAGGAGAGCAGATGGGTGTGATGCCCAGAGATCAGGCCTGGGACCCACGGGAAGGGTGGAGTCACAGGGAGCAGGTCCCAGCCTCATGGAAGCAGAGCTTCTCCAAGTTGGAGCCAGGCTGGCCCCCTGGAGGGAGGGCGCTTCTGGGCCTGGGAGGGGCGCCGGTGCCTACTGAGTGCCAGTCTTTTGGAAAAAGGTATTTCTCAAGTACATTTTTTGTTTGACGCGATCTCAGCCCACAGCTGCGTCAGGACCTGTGAATCCGATGCCGCTCAGGAACCCTGTGCTGAGCAGCCACGTGGGCCAGGCACAGCCCCGGGCCGCGAGGCAGCAACGGCGAGGCCGACTGCCACCCTGGGGAGCTGACCTTCTGCGGCGGCAGCCAGAGGCCAAGCAGGGGTGCAGAGCAGAGGGACTGGTGACAGAGCTGGAGAGGAACATGGCGGGGACGCGGCAGGGGAGGCTGGGCAGGGGCAGCAGGGCTTTCAAGTCAGGGGGTCCTGGAAGGCCTTCCTGAGGAGGTGACGTGTGTCAGAAACTGGAATGCAAGTGAGGCCTTGGACCATGTGGCTATCTGGGCGAAAAGCATTCTGGGCAGAGGGAGGAGTAAACACAAAGACCCTGAGGCGGGAATGGCCTGCCCTGTTCGAGGGACAGCAGAGGCCAGTGAGCTGGGTACACACAGTCCCATTTAATGCCCACAACTCTCCCAGACTGGGGTTGTTGACCTATGTTACACAAGAGGAAACTGAGGCATGGAGAAGAGAGTCACACAGCTGGCAAGTGGCTGAGCCAGAATTTCATCCAAGTTATTGACTCCAAATGATTTGCCTTAAAAAAAATAATAATTGCAGCAACAGTCAAAGGTAGGTGTGCCCGTGTGAGTGTGTGTGTGTGTGTGTGTGTGTGTGTGTGTGTGTGAAGGTTCAGCATCCTGGCAATTCCTTGTTCCTTGGGGGCTGGGATAGAGCAAGAAAAGGAGGTAATTCCAAGTTTTAGGGCTCAAGGCTGGTCTCTTGACCAAGACAGGGTCTCTGGTTCCCAGGCTGGGAATAAGGGTGCATGGGCCTGGCAGAAAAGCTGCTGGAATCCCCGTTGCGCTGGGGCCTGATCAGAGTTTGCTCACCTATGCGTCTCAGCTCCCAGCCCAGTGCCTGGCACGCAGCAGGTGTCCAAAAAATGATGGGAAGTGAAAGAAGGTGGAAGCACGCTGTTCTGGGGAGCAGCGAGAACCAAGGGGCACGCTCAAAGGACAACCTCTGGACCTCATGACGAGACACTAGGAGGCCTGGAACCTAGGAGGAAGGTGGGGCCTGGTCACAGACAGACCCGGGGAGGAATTCATCCCCACTTCCAGCTGCAGAGCTGGGACGGGGAGCACCCATGGTCGGGGCTGAAAGCCTAAAGGTGGGCCTGGGTGCTGTTCCCCAAGGGGAGTCCGCTGAAGGCCTCTTCCAGGAAGCTAAGGGGCGTCGCCTCGACATCTCTAGGGTTGCCAGGCCCCTCAGGTGCTGCAAGTGCCCCGGCCAGGAGGACGCAGGAGGCCACCTGGCTGCTTGGCCGCACCTCCAGGCTCCGCCTAGGCTCTGGCTCGCTGGGCCCTGCCTCTGGGAGCACCTGGGACAGGCCAGCAGATGGAAGTCCTCTAAATGCATTACCGAGGCAGGCGAGCCCCAGCTCCCAGTCCTGCTACGGGACTAACTTCGTCAAAGCACTCTACAGCGTTAGCCACCCGGCCCCTGCCCCCACGACCCGCTAATGGTGCCAGCTACTGCCAGGGCGGCTGCGGCAAGCAGGCCTGCTGCGCTCCAACAGCTGCCACGCAAATCCAGCTACGGTCCAGCAGCCCAGGCGGGCCACGGGCCTGGGGCTCGGGGCCCAGCTGACATCTGGGTGCTCGCAAGGCCTGGGCATTCCCGAGCGCACCAGGGCCCAGGGCTGGCCCGCTGCCTGCTCCCCTCGTATGCAGCCCCACCCAAAGCTGGCCTGCCCACTCCAGCACAGCCCCGTTGCCACCTTCCCCGACTCCAGCGGCTCCCAGGCCACCGACCCTAGCAGCTAATGTGCCCGGCCCAGCGTGGACGGTGTGCTTAATGGCTCGCTGAATCCTTGTTTCAACCCCTAGCCCCATTTCACAGATGGAGAAACGGAGTCCACAACAGGCTGCAGGGCAGCTGGGGACGCACCCTGAGACAAGTGCGTCTCCTGAAACCAGCATTAGAGGTCCTGCCGCCTCCCCAGCTGCCCGGCTCACTGCCCCACGGGCACTGCCTGTGCGACCTTCTCAGCGTCATCCTATGCATGCTGTTCCCCCTGCCTGGGCTACCTTCCCATCTCCTTTTGTCCTGTTAAATTCATCCTTGGAGGTCCGGCTCTGTGTCAACTTGTTGAGGAGGCCTTGCCTAGCCAGCCCCGGAGCAGGACAGCCTGACCAAGGGAACTTCTCCAGGAGCCCTTTCTGGGCCTGGCTGTGTGTGAGGGGCTGGGCCCCCGCAGGGCCCCCACAATCCCCATGCCCACTCTGGCTTGGGACCGCTGGTGGGGCCAGCTGGGTGCCACCGCCAGGCAGGAGCGTCCTGTGGGCGGGGCTTACCCGCTGCCGCCCCAGCCAGGCCCCCAGGCTCCCCAGGGGTGAAGGGCCCCGCCCTCAGTGTGTGGTTCTTGCCCCTGCGCTTCTCAGCACCCCATCACTGCTCACCTGGATGTGCAGCAGCCCCCTCCCTTCGCCGCACTCCCCCTGTTCTCATCCCAGCAGCCAGAAGGAGCTTGTGAAAATCTCAGAATTTCGTGAGACACTCAAAGTAAAAGCCAAAGTCCTCACAGTGGCCCCCAAGGCCCTGTGTCATCCGGCCCATGTGATGTCCCTGGCTTCCCCATTGTTCGCTCTGCTCCATCCTCACTGGCCTCCTCACCGTCCTGCTCACATGCCTGGCACACTCCTCCTGCCTCAAGATATTTGCACTGGCTATACCCTCCGCCTGGACCCCTCCTCCCAGCACTCCTTTATGCATCCTCCTCCTGCCCCACCTCCCTTCAGGTCTTTGCTCACCTCCCCACTCTCCCCCTCATTCTCTGGGCTGCAGCCGCCTCTCCACCTTCTTGCCTCAGGACTTTTGCACATGCTGACCTCTTTGCCTGGCACACCCCTCCCTGCTCAGCCCCATTCCGCTAACT